TTTCTGTATTGTCAGTTGACCTGTTTTAGAAGCTCTTAGCAAAAAGGGTTCAAAATGGTTCTATATAGCACCCTATATTGTACTAGTAGAACACTTTTTGGGTGCTATATAGAACAAAAAAAAAGCCTCTTTAAAAACGTTATACAATAATTTCTTTACGCACACTTCTTCAAGGGTTCTTTTGTAAAGAAAATGGTTCTATATAGAACCATGAACACTTAAGGTACCCTTTGCATGATGTCCCTTGTTGAAAATCGTTCTATTTAGCACCAGAAAGTGTTCTGCTTTTGTTATAAGATTGACAGAGAACCAATACAAGAACGTTTTTGGTGCTATATCGAACCATTTTCAAAAAATTCTATGTAGCACCATCTGCAGCACATTCTCAATCAGTATGAAGAACCCTTTTACGAAGCAAAGAACGCTTTAATTATGCCAAGTGTTCTTTGAGTGTTCACTGTTCTATCTAGAACCATTTTCTTTATTAAGGAACCCTTGAAGAACCAATGTTTAGGGGTGTAGCATTCAAAAAGTTGGAATCAATGCTACTTTTCTTTTTAAGTGTGTGCGTTCAAATGGTTCTTTGAGTGTTCACAGTTCTGTACAGAACCATTGCCTTTAATAAAGAACCCTTGGAGAACCAATGTTTAGGGGTGTAACATTCAAAAAATTTGGAATCAATATTGCAGATAAATGTATAAGTTGACATGTTAATCCTGAACAACGTCACAGCTTTTAGGTCATAAGCGCAACAATAAGAAGCTGTAAGTAAAAATGAAGTAATGTGTCCAGACTGATGAACAGAGCTGCAGATGACTGTACAAGTACTGAAATAGCTGTAGAACATTGAGAATTAATTTTTAATAAAATTAATATCCAGAATGTATCATGTTTCAAAAGTGAGTATCAAATCTCAAAGTATCAAATCAAATCACTCATTAGAGTGTTTATTTATCCTTTTATTCACGTCTTGCTCACAGAATTCTTAATATACTGTATAAAACACCTGAAAAATACCTTTTGGCAAATAGTTTGTAACATTCTATAAGCATAATGTATATAATTTTCACACTTTATGTGCACTAGTGTACATAATTTAACTATCTTCTGCAGACCTGTAGTGCTACAGCGCAGTGTTGTTTGGCTCATAGTCTATTAGAAGAGTTTCTTTATTACAAACGTTTGAAAAGATGTTAGGATAAGGGATAAAATGTCATTTTAAAGTCCTTCCATGGTTTAGACCTGTACTTAGTTAAAAAAAAAGAGAGTGTCTGTTTGCAATGTTTCATTAATGAACCTACAGCTGATTCTGGGACATATGTGATGCTATCTAGAGGATTAAATGAAGAAAATGTACAGCCATATACAAAAGTGTGAAATCCTCCATCAAATTACATGTAATAAAATATAAAATGTGCCATAACTGCACTACATTTTGTGTCAATTCAGCAAATAAACAGTAACTGTATGTTAAAGTGTGCAGAAGTCTGTTCTCTGTAGAGGATGTGTTAACTTGTTTACATTTAGAAAATCAACATAACATGGAATTTGTGCCCAAACTTTTGCATTCGACTGTACAAAGAAAGAGCCAATCACTTACCAGGAGCACAAAGTAGGTCATGTGACACTGTGGTGAATATTTTTTATAGCGAACCATTTAAATGGTTTGACTGAACGCAACAGTATTATTGGAACAGCCAGGTCATGTGACCTGGGAAAGAGGAAGGAGAGGTAAGTTTAGTGCAGACATGTGTGGTCAGACAAGCATCAGGTCATTAGGCCTTTGCTGCTCCTGCTGGCTTATGGCTCACTAATCCTCTTCACTGGCCTAACCTGACTTCATTAGGCCATTTTTAGTTGCAGTTTAGACCAACACGTGTCCCATGATGCCCTGCAAAATCAATACTGCTGAGTAGGACAGTGGACTTCTTTAGGTCTGACATACCATCAGTGACCTTGAGTCATGTGATATACCATATTTACAACATACGGAGTAAATTATGGGTCATTCCACAGCAACTCATCTAGGGTCTGGTAGCTCACTAGATCACTACATGGAAAAATTCAAGTAAAAAACTTGCAATATTTCAAAACTATGCTCCAAGTAGTTTTTAAGTTATGCATTTTTAAAGTGTGAAACTGTACAATGCCAATAAAGTAACATATAGTGGGAATTTCTGAACAAGAAATATGATTTTTTGAAGTGAAAAGTTCTCAATATTGCATTTATACCCAGTTAATATTTCAGCTCATTTCAGTCATTCTGTAAGCAGTTATTAAGCAGTTATGTCATATTTAAGATGCTATTTACAATCTGATGAGGCGAACTTTAAAAATTCATAACTCAAACAATATTTGGAGTAAAACTTTGAAGTTTTGTATGCAAATGGAGGTTTTTGTAAGATTTTTTTTTTGTATTTTAAAGAAAATGAATGATGTGACCTGCTAACCTAGGTGAGTTGGCGTGAAATGAATAAATAAATGAGAATAAATAAAATAAAATAAAAACAGATAATTGCATCAAAATGTTCACACTTGCATTATGTAGTAAGGAATGCCAAAGCTCTTTAGCAATACAACTGAATATTTTAAAAATAAAACTTTTAAATTTAATTCATTGACAAAAAAAAATACTGTACTATATATATATCACTTTATTCCTAATGTATTATTATATTACACATTTTATTACACATTTCTAACATTTTAAAAAAAAATCCAGTTCTGCTTTGCTCTTTGTTTATATCAGTAGATTCCTGTCTATTTTCTAAAGATTTTGCCTTTCACATGTCTTCATTTTTAATAACTAATAAATCAACCCACTGTGAGGCAAAATATAAGCATGAAAGACATTATTAGCAAATGTTAATATGCCAATTTAAGCAAACCATTGGCTACCTTTAGAGGTTTATATCACTGGCTATTTGTTAAACCCCTACTTGGCCAGGGCCCACCGGTGGGCTGAAAGTGTTATTATACACTTCTATAACCTAAGAATAGCTCAGCCAGTTTGCACTGAAGTCCCTGTAGTTACTGAATCAAACGTCTTAGTATGTAATAAGACTGGGGTTTTAAAGAATTAATGGATTTATTGCTGTGTTTATACCTTTAAGCAAAACTATAGGGCTTCCAATCACCCTCAGTGCTCTTTAACCTCAGTGCTCATGTTGTTTTCAGAAATCCTGAAACCTAATTGCTTTAGCTCAGTGGTCACCATCTCTTCTCTTGACGATCTGTGGGTTTTACCTCCAATCTGATTCTAACACAGCTAATCAAGGACTTCTGAAAGCAATAATCAGATCAGGTAGGTCATTTAGGGTTGGAGCTAAAGTCTTCAGGAAGGTAGATCTTAAAGCACAAGGAAAAATGAAAACGCAGCAGAAAAAAAAATTTAACAGCTTTTTTGCTTCTTACATTGTAATTTTTATTCCCAAATACTCGGACACTGTCCAGAGACCACTCAGCAGAGTTACTAATGCCAGGATCAGGAGATTGGCCCAAGAGATTTATATGCACAGAGACAGTAGCTGGCCAAGCAAAGTGTTATTGACTGGACAGAGCAGGACTGGACCATGTCCTAATCCAGGTTCAACATTCAGGGCTTTTCCTGAAGGTCATTAAATGATAGGAGCTTTTTCCACATATAGTACTGTGCAAAAGTGCTAAACGAATTGTTTTAAACCATTTCTCTGGGCAGTAAGTGTGTTTTTGCTTGTACAAACAATATATGATGTTAGAATAAATGCAAACATGAATGCAGTAAAAAGTAACAATAATTTCTTATTTTCAGCAAAGCTGTTTAGATGTTATGTTGTGAGCTGGTCAGAAGAACCATTGTTTGGCTCCAGATTTCTCCAGCCAGCACATAGTTTTGTTCAAATCCATCACCAGCACCCCTGAGTTAATTTAAAGAGGCGTTGATTAACTGAAACAGGTATTGGTTGATAACTAAAAAGATACTGGGCTGCATTGAGGAGAGGTGTGGAAATGATTAAATGAACACACTGACATACATAAGATCACTACTTACTTATTAATGTTATTGTATTTATTTTAATATTTCAATATTAGCTTTTCTAAGTAAATAAGCACTTAAATAAATAAATGACCAGCTCATTTTAAAAATACAGTCATGAAAATTTAAAGTTTCAGGTGCCTGAGACTTGTACACAGTTCTGTATGATCAATTGAAGACGCATTTATAGACGTTTCCCTCTCAAAGTGCAAAAATATTTCGATTTTTTCTGTTAAACGTCTGAGAAAATATCTGCTTTTTTTGCTAACATGGCTGAAATTGTTGCTGCATAGACAAAAAAGAGTGTTTTTCAAGCACATGAATTATTCTTTTATTCATTTGCTCCCTACTATACATAATACTAACATAATCACATTATGTTACACTAAATTTAAGTATAACAACATTGTTAAGTACAACAATGTTTTAAGCTGCTATTTACCAATATTTTGCACGTATTTTATATATTATTTTATACATTTTAGATTATATAAGTTTTAACACCCCCAGTCATATTATATGTTTTACTGATTTTCTAAGTAAAAAGAAGTTAACAATTTCTATTTATTTGCCAAGTTTAACATATTGGAAAATAATAAACTATAAAATATAACATTTTGCACAGGCCACATTTTATGTTTTGTCTCCCCAAATATGTTAAATTCAGCAAATAACAGTAATTGTATATTAAAATGTGCAGTTTTTTCTCTGTAGAGGATGGGTAACTTATTTAGAGTCAGACACTCAGAAAATCAACAAAATATGTCATTTGGCCAGGGGTGCCCAAACTTTTGCACACAACTATGTTAATTACAGTGTTACATATATGTTCATTTGCATGGAAATCCTAAACTGGCCACCCCTACCAGCTCACTGTAATCTGTGCCTCTTTCAGTAAATCTGCCCATTTATAGCTTTAGGCAGTCTGTGTGAATTTAATCTGTGGAAACAGTTTCCTTTGTGTTTTTGTCTATTTCTCAGGAAAATGTCAGGACCCAGGCCAGTAGTTCTGAGTGGCCCATCCGGGGCTGGGAAAAGCACTCTGCTCAAGAGGCTGATGAAAGAATATGAGGGCGTCTTTGGGTTCAGTGTCTCCCGTAAGTAACCTTTTCCTGCCTTCAAACTTCAAAACTTACAGTCTCTCTGACAAATTTCATTAAGCTCGATCTTCCTTATCGCAGATACAACTAGGAATCCTCGTCCCGGAGAAGAGAACGGCAAAGGTAAGCTGGAGTTTCTCACAACCTGGAAAGCAGAATCTATAAAAAAAAAAGTCTGAAAAGATGGTTAAAATGGGTTTACAGACAGTATTGTTGTGGTAAAATACAGAAAAATATGACTTTTAGTATAGCAAAAGACAAAAATTGGACAAAAACATCAATAATCTTCCAAATACTTGGAATGCCATGGTGCAGGTATAGATATCCTTCACAGTTTGGATCAATCTCCAGGACACTTTACAACCAAACCAAACTCTCTACCCATGATTCCCTTTCTAAAATAGCCCTTCTACCCTCAGAGTAAGGCTTGACTGTAACTTCACAACACACTGACAATGAAGCTTTGTTGCTTCTTACTCCCAAGTGAACTGTTGCTAAAAATGATGGGGGTAAAAAATGTATTTATTTTCTCCCCAATGTGCCTTTTGTTGTTTCTCCATAGGACTCAATTGTCTCCCAATGCTTCTGGGGGCTACGTTACTACCCGTAGCAGACGTCCTATCCTCTGTATCATCTGAAGGTGTAGATCATATTTCAGCTACTGAATCATAATCAATATCTCAGATCATTCTCATCATTAATGTGATGGGGGGTTACTTTCATCTTTCTCAATTCCAAACATGTGGAAAAGTGGTTAACAATTCAGGCCACGATTAGACGATTAGAAGTCATGGTTGGTTTTTGAAGATTTCAATGCCAGTGTGCACTTTGGAGTAAAAAGCTTTTGAAAATAGCCCCCTGTGTTTTCTAGATGTGTCCTATTTCACCCTAAGAGAATCCCCAGTGGCACAATACCTAACACCTGGTTAATCATTAGCATCACAACAAGCTTTAATACCAAAATAAGTTCATGATATAAATCACTATTTACAATGAAAATTAAATTATAATTGTGTCATCTGCTTTTAGCAAAATGTTCAGGTTTAGGTTCAGGTAAGGTTGAAAACAATGAAGTAGTAGAGTACAGCTGTCAGCTGGTGACTGATGAGAGATGTTAGTGCAAATTTTCCATTAATAATGTTTTCCAGCTGATTTTTCATAAATTTGGAAGAAAAATCATATGAACATCAAAATAAAGCAATGAGCCACAAGATGCTGTTCATTGCTGTGCTACAGATAAGGGCTGTTCTTAGGCATGGCGTGAAGATGCTTTTAGAAAACTGTGACAATGTAATATGATAAAATACACACTTTTGAAATAAATAATTTAAGTTACAATTAATAATAACCACAAACAAAACAACTGTTCCACCAAGAAATGTAGTTAGTTTAGAGTATGCTTTTAGTGACTTGGCCTAGCAATTCAATTTTTGTCAGACGTGGCTTAGCTTAGCTAATCAGATTTTAGAATTGGAACTTTTTACCATACATTTTTCAATACATATTAGTTTGACTGGCTGAGCTGCGTCTGAAGCTGTTGAAAATAAAATAATCAATATAAAGTGAATTCTGTAATAATGCAGCAAGTTATTACTGCAGAAATAATGCATTATCTGGAGAAATAATGCATTGCACTTCACTGCTGAAAAAAAACAGCATTGATTTTGCTGGTTTATGATGGTCTGTTGCTGGTTTAGCTCATCACTGAGCATAGTCATGCTGGTTGACCAGCATACCAGCATCCAAAACACAACATATGCTAGTTTTGCTGGTGGCAAGTACATTAACTTACATTGCTGCTGACCAACACATCTACATCCAGAACACAGCATATGCTGGTTCTGCGGATGACCAGCCTTTCTGGTCAATTCTGTTTTTTTTCCAGCAGGGTTAACTAACACTTAAGACTTAACTAACTAGAGTGGTCTAGAGTGGACTAGCAAACTAAAAACATCCAGATTAATGTCAGCGATTATCTTAATCATTAAGATGTTGTGCTGTTTATGGAATAATGCTTGGCAACCATAGTCTAGTGTTAATGAACTACATTACTTGGCAGAAGCTTTTGTTTCTTGCGATAATTGTTAATAAATTTGAACACTGATCATTTTCTATTTTGCATGGATCACATTATGCCTAACAACCCACCTTAACTGCGGTAAAATCACAAAACTCAATTTAATGCAAGGCCTTGCATCGCTCATTACTTTAATCCTTTAAGGCTGATGCAAAACTGCAGCTGTTTCTGCTGTTTAATCTGCTCTTTGCCATTAGTCATATGATTTCTTAGTTCTGTTGGTACATTTATTTGATATTTGAAGAATGTAATATAACAAAGCATCCATAGATATTTATTATGTAAACCACCATTCTTCACAATACATGCATAGTAAAATGTTACACATCAGTGGTCTGTTACCATAACTCAGACTAAACAAACCCATCACTCATTTACCAACTAAATAAGCATGTGTGGTTGCTGGGAAGAACATCACAGTGTATTCAACAATAAAGGCAACCTTGTTCATCCTTTACGCAGTGATAGAAAACACGATAGCACACTGCGAGTGTGTAACTCCAGTTCTACATGCTGCCTGCTGGCAAGACACTCGGATTGGCTGATAAGGATTAAAAAGTACTGATGATGCATTGACATCCAGATCCATACATTGTGCTTAATCATGACTGACACCATGTGTTTTTCTGTCTGTACAGATTACTCAGTAAACAGGTTAATTCATTTAAAAGCCACCTGCCAATTTATTCTCTTTTTCATATCCATAAATGTAGGATAAAGTCCTATTAATCCAGCATATTACACATTGTTGTAATGCTAATGACTGTGCCCCCCCCCACCCACCCCACCATCAGGTACAATTCATTTTCTGGTTTTCTGTGCTCTCTCACACACAATTCAACCCATTACAGGATTATAAGCCAAGTCAAGTGTGTTTGAGCAAGAAAACTCTGAAATGTGACGTGCCGAGTCCTGAGGACCACAACAGTAAAGCAGTTTTAGCGTTCTGTGTAGAAATGTCTGTGACTGCAGTAGTGTGAGTGACGTGTTTGTGTTGCTCTGTAGAAACTCTTCTCCTGCCAGCTCACCTATAGCCTGGTAGGTCATGAATTTCCATGAAAAATTCCAACCAAAATCCTCTTATTAATGTAACCATGCAAATGTCAAAGCTGTGCTTCCAATAGTTTCACTGAATTACAGAGCTGATTTAAAATATTAACTGGGTATAAACGCATCACTAAGAAATTATATTTCACCATAAAACAACTAGTTAATACATTATCACAACAAGGTCATTTATTTGAACCACAACAGTGAAACAGTTTTAGCGTTCTGTGTAGAAATGCCTGTGACTGCAGTAGTGTGAGTGACGTGTTTGTGTTGCTCTGTAGAAACTCTTCTCCTGGCTGTTGTGGAGGGATGATCATAATAGTATTAATAATAATCATAATAGTATGAGCACATGCAGTTTACAGTAATTATAAGCCACAGGTTGTCATATGCTTTGCAATACAGCTGAAAAATGGACAAATGAATTTAATAACTCACATGAACATTTTCAGAATCAAGATTCATTGGTCAGGTTTGCTTACACACACTAGGAATTTGGCTTTGGTTACAGGAGCTCACAGTGCACAGTACCTGACATTTACATACAAGATAAAACATGCATTCCTACCATCACTTACTCACTCACACACACACACATACACACACAGTCATAGTTTCACTGGATTACTAAGCTGATTTACAATATTAACTGGGTATAAATACATCACTAAGAATTATATTTCACCATAAAATAACTAGTTAATACATTATCACAACAAGGGCATTTATTGGAGTATTTATTGGTGTACTTTTTTGGCACAGCATGAAAATTTAATCCTACAGGCAGTTTTTTAATTTATTTATTTATTTTGTGTTCCTACACTTTTATCAGACCCATGAATGATTCATTTCTGCATAATGTATATCGCTGTTGTCGGAAAAAAACCTCGTATCTCCAAAATGATGACTTTACAGGAGAAGGAAAAAAACCTACTGTACTTTTAATGTAAGTCAATGGAACCAGACGTTTTTACACGTATATTTAGTTTCTTTTGGTCTATTCATCATGGAATTTACACTCAATGTAAAGGCCAACAGGCATTTTCAAATATTGTCAAAAACTGAAAAACAGCGAAAATAGATATACAAGGTTTTGTTCCAACAGCAGTGATTTGAAGTTACAACATGAGTTTCACTTATGCTGTAAAAATCCAGTTTGTTGGCCTTTTTTAAACCTACATTTTCTCAAAAGGGACTATTTTCTACAAGCGTTACCTGAAACAGAAGAGTTACGTCTCATCAAGATTTTTAGATGTGATAGAACTCCTTAATAATAAAGCAGTAAACTAGTCAATGGAAAAACCTTAGATTTCTTTAGAGCACAGTTTTGAGATGAGTTCAAAGTGGCTTCAGTAAAATTAAAAATCCATTTGTGAACCTACATTTTAACCATGGAGCACAGTTTTGAAATTTTGCATGCTATGAAGTTTTTTCAAAGCTTAAGTTCTTTCAAAAACATCTCTCACAAGTGATTCACTCAAGCGTCAACTATCATTTAAAAAAGATAACAGATGATTAATGAATTGATAGATTAGATGATTATTTGTCATCTAATCGAGTCTGGATTTGAATTAGTGAAGGATTATCTGAGGTCTTTTTTGCTCCTCTACACCAGCAGTGCAGTGCAGAGTTTGTTGTTGAGTAGATGCCACTGAACATGTGCATTGTTTCAGTGAAGCTTCTCTAGGCGTTAGAGACACCATGACTCTCCCACTGCAGTCTTTAACAAACCGTCTTAACTCACTGAGTCTTACCAGTAATCCTCCATCTGCTCCTGCTGCAGATTACCACTTCGTCACCAGAGAGAAGATGCAGGAGGCCATCGACAACAGGGAGTTTATTGAAAACGCAGAGTTCTCTGGAAACATGTACGGCACCAGGTAAAGTCCTGCCACAGTAAGAGCAAGTAGTGCTGATGGAAAGCTTACCGCACTCTCTACTGTCCAAGAGTTTGGAATCACTTACCATTAACATTCCTGGCTGTTTTATTCAGTTTATTTAAACACTGTGTGCTGCATTTACGTATTTTATTTTTTGCCGAAAGCCTAATTTATACTTTTGAGGGTTTTCAAAAACTGAAAACATGGCCAAATTTACATACCCACATTTTTGCATGACCCTTTTCCAACCTCTCTCTGTCCCGTTGAAGGAAACAGCCTGTTTTTGTTACTAAACCTTTAAGATACAGTCAGACGCAAAAGTTTGACATGTTGTTCATTTAAGTGAAAATATGTTTCCAGATCCAGAGAACACACTTCTGCACATTTAGCTTCCTACCAATTATCTTTAACCTGTAAAGTTCCACAGAACTAGCATATGTGATTTTATACATTTATCTATATTATTAAAACCAGTGATTCCTAACTTTTAAATAGGGATTCTAAACTTTGGCCATATTATTTTTCTGACCTTCTCCATCCTGTAAAATGACCTTATTTAACCTTGGGCACATTTAGTTAACCTGAGGTAAGATGGAGCTGCTGAAGCTGCTCTGGCTCGTGTTGGTTCAGGAGAAATCCACAGCGGCACCTGTTGCTCTGTACTCACAGTGTCGTGTTTAATCTTAGCAAGATTAGGGAAAAGAACCAATGGAGCTGGCAGTCAGCCCTAATCCCACCAGCCTGATAATCCACACTGCCACAGAAGGAGTTACTGAGGGACGTCTCATTTCCCTTATAATGACCTTACGTATGATTTAGTTTGATAACAGCCGTATTTAAGTCATACTATCTATCTATCTATCTATCTATCTATCTATCTATCTTTCTATCTATCTATCTATCTTTCTATCTACTGTCTATTTATCTATCTATGTATCTACTGTCTATCTATTTATCTTTCTATCTATCTATCTATCTATCTATCTACTATTTATTTATCTTTCTATGTATCTACTATCTATCTATCTGTCTGTCTATCTATCTATCTATCTATCTATCTATCTATCTATCTATCTATCTATCTACTATATATCTATCTACTGTCTATTTATCTATCTATCTATGTATCTACTGTCTATCTATCTATCTATCTATCTATCTATCTATCTATCTATCTATCTATCTATCTATCTATCCATTTTTGGACATCATTTGAAATTTCCTGCTATCCTTTATAATATGTCATGATGAGCTGAGTGTTCATTAACTTCCACTAAAAGTTATGAATGTTTTTCCTTCTGCTGTTAAGTCAGCTTTGGATTGGCCCGTGAGGTGAACCTCACCACCATCCGAATATATATACACATATTTGGATCTGAGTCTATATATCGGCCCCACTTGGGCCTTGAAATCTGCCTGATGTGTTGCTGACTATAAGCACTAACACTGACTTCTATTGGAGAGTGAAAGAACAGAGCTCAAATGAATAAACGACAAAAGAAAACTTGACTTGGGCAAAAAGTCTGACAGCGTCACAAGAGGCAAAACCCAAGCCTGAGAAGCTAAGGCCTAAAAACAGGCAACAGAGGTGGGTAAGGAACCCAAATGGCACAAATAATCTCTGTAGTGGACGCAGAGGGATCTGTGTTGCCCTCTGGAGGTGAGCAGGAGGGACTGCAGTCTTTATACATTGTGACTGTATTTCAGATTGGGCTTGTTGTTTGGGTCTGGGAGTGCCGTGTTTCACCACTGTGAAGAACAGTCACTCTTTTGTCGGACAAAGCAGAGTCTTGCAGCACAGTGTGCTGCCTTTTTCTAACGTTAGCTCTTTGAGGTTCAGGTGAATCAGGCTGTTCCTTTGCATTTGCATTATGTTAACTTGCAGTCTGATGTAGAATCAGTCCTTAATTTAATATTTTCTATCATTTCACTCGTCAGCAAGTCGTCTATAGAGGACGTTCAGGCCCAGAACCTGATCTGCATCCTGGACGTCGACATTCAAGGAGTGAAAAACATCAAGCAGACTGACCTGAACCCCATCTACATATCCATCCAGCCTCCGTCCATGGAGATACTGGTAACACACACAGACAGCAGCACACATGATAGTTAACCCCACACTTCAAAAGTTTGGAAAAACAATTTTTTTTAAGTTTAAAATAAAATAAAAACAAAATGTTGCTGGTAAATATTTATTTATGCCTCATAATTTTTCTCTAAGATGTTGTAACTGAACAACTACACAGATTTCAAATATTTAGTAAGAGGCTGTTAAAATGAAGGAAGGAAGGATTATAGCTTTATATAAGTGATATATAATAACAATTATTAATGTGGAAAGTGACATATTTACATATACATCCACATACACACATACACACACACACACACACACATTTATGTGTGTATATATCGCTGTTGTCCAGAGAAAACCTTGTATCTCCAAAATGGTAACTTTACAGGAGTTCCATTGGTTCCATTGACTTACTTTTAATGTAAGTCAATGGAACCAGACTTTTTTCCTGAGTAATTTTGGATCATTTCTTTTAATCCACTCATCCACTCATTTCTATCTATCTATCTATCTATCTATCTATCTATCTACTTATATTCTTTCTATCTATCTACTTATATTCTTTCTATCTATCTATCTACTTATATTCTTTCTATCTATCTATCTATCTATCGATCTATCTATTTCATAAAAGTGAAAACACGTTAACACATCCTCTACAGAAAACATAAGAGAACAAATATGGAATTTGGAATTTTTCTGCAAATTTCAGTGCAGAATTTTTACTGAGAAACGTTCATTGGTCTTGCAGGAGCAGCGCCTCAGAGACAGAAAGACGGAAACGGAGGAAAGCTTACAGAAACGTCTGGAGGCAGCCCGAATCGACATGGAGCTCAGTAAATAAAACATCAGCTCATTCATTCATTCATTCATTCATTCTTTCTTGCTCTGGCTCAGTGCTGATAGTATCTCTCTCTCTGTGCAGGTAAGGAACCAGGCGTTTTTGACCTGGTCATCATTAACAATGATCTGGATGAAGCCTATGAGAAGCTTAAAAATGTTCTTATTGAGGTAATTCTCAAAACGAATACTCTGAAATATTCACATCGCAGTCCTCGAGCTTCAGGCGCTACAAGCTTAGTTAGGAAGACAAACATGACATTAACACACCAGTTAACTTAAATACTAATGACTATAAAATTCAGGACTGTTTTAGATCTGAGGTCCAGAGCTGAATATTTCTGAAATTAAAACTTACGCATCACAGGTTTCTGCATGATTCAGTTGCTGAGATGTAAACAAAGTCAATCTGAGTGGTTTGATGTGAAACGGTTCGTTGTAGAGAGTTCTTTACCAAAACCACCAGAGAACCTACACACAAAGCTCCTCTGAGCTTTTATATGGAATGTTGATGGTGGTAAAATAGAGATAAATGCGAAAAAATAAGCTTTCTGTGGGACTATTTTACCGCATAACACCCTCCCTGTAGCCCTCCACCGTGAATGGCTTTTAAAACATCCGTTTTAGGCCAAAACCTTAAAACTATCATAAAACAACGTCTCAGGAAGCACATTCATGTAGTGACTTTCTCTAAGGGAGCTTTTAGAGGTGGATGTCTGGTTCCTATCACCACCACTGTGAACAATTCTGACTCTGTAAGTTTCTCTAGAACAAAAAACTAAAAAACTCTGTTTACATCTTACCCGTTTAGTTATGCAGAAATTTAGAAAAATGGGTGGAACTCCCCTTCAATTTAACATTTTTTTTTTATCCTACAGGAAATTCAGAAGGTTCAGGATGCCAAAAAGTAAGAGAAGAAAAGCCGCCACTATTTCCTTTGTCAGAATGGACATGCAGCCTTTCGGTCCAGCCTTCTAGCACGCAGTCAGGATGCAGGAGTGCAAGGCATTCACAATAATGATCATCATTTAATATTTAATTCTGAGTTATGGTCACCACAAAGCCCCTTGTTATAAGGGAAACTGACCCTGAAACAGGTTTATTTAAAACAAATGACTATGTTCCACATCTTTACATAATAAACAAAAGCTCTTTTTTCGATTTTCTGCGTCCTGTATGGAGAATAAATGGCATGTTCCTCTGACCCAGCTGCTGAAAGATATGAACAGTTGCATTCTCAGTGAAAAGTCTCTAAGAATATCACTGTATGTGTCACTGACATAGGGCATTACTTCTGCATAACACGTTAAAGTGGTACCACATGCACTGGCCGGAGTAAAGCTTAGGACTGTAGAATTACATGTCCAGTAATTAGCTCTGCATGTTATTCATGTATGTATTGGGATGTTAGTGGTTGACAGTGTTCAATAAACATATATAAAGGAAAATAAAGGAAAACGCTTGGCTTCACAAATGGAAAAGCACTAGAACTGTCTGGAATTACATGCATTGAAAGGTAAACTTATTAATGAAATAAAACTGTAAACATCAACATTTGTGTTTTCCACTCTTTGGTAAATTGGCACTAAACATCATTTAGTTCCTAGCTCCTCTTTTTGGGTTTCATTTCTTTCTATTGTGTTAGCTCAGCTCCTGGGCTGCTCTACTGTTACTCGCACTTCTCTCTTTGGAGTTTTAGAATTTTATTTTAGACCAAAAAGATCCAAAAACAGAAGAATATAGGCCTGAATTGTTACGCTAGACACAATGTGGCTGTGAGCCAAATGCCATTAGGATAGGAAACCGTGTTTTCACTGCCCCTTGTCTGACATACATGCATTTTTAACAGGGAATTCCACAGATTTTTGATTATTTCTCCATCATTAAATGGTTAAAATGTAAATAAAGCCTTTCAGAGTGGTTTGATGTGAAAGGCTCTGTTCTAGAGAAACTTACCGAGTCAGAATTGTTCACAGTGGTGGTGATAGGAACCAGACGTCCACCGCTAAAAGCTCCATCACAGAAAGTTACTACATGAAACTCCAGCAGCACTGCTATGTCTGATCCACTCGTACCAGTGCAACACACACCAACATGCCACCACCATGTCAATGTCACTGCAGTGCTGAGAAAGACCCACCACCCAAATAATACCTGCTCTGTGGTGGTCCTGTGGGGGTCCTGACCACTGAAGAACAGGGTAACAAAGTACACAGAGAAACAGATGGACTACAGTCTGTAACTGTAGAACTACAAAGTGCTCCTATGTGGTCAGTGGAGCTGATAAAATGGACAATGAGCGTAGAAATAAGGAGGTGGACTGGCTGGTCATTGTCAGTGAGCTATATTTTGATATATTTCTCAGCAAAACCGTTACAGCACCGAACCGTTTGTCCCTCTGTGGATGCCGTACTCTGTAGCCGTTGCCTAGCAACTGTAAGTGTCAACCGTAAACACGGATAAACACTGCAGGCTAATCGGTAAACAATTAATTAATCTACATATCTTTGAAAATTATTAGATTTTGGTTTAAAGTTATGTAGAATTCAGTTACTAATGTTGTCACGAGACTGAAGTCAGCGTTGTATTCGCCAGCTTCTTCTTCGAATTTCCCGGTTCCACCTTAAATGGTGCTGCAGTTACACTCTGGCGCGTTATACTAATATGAACAGCTGCAGCATTTAAGGTGGAACGGGAAAATTCGAATAGGAAGCCAACTTAAGCCTCGTATTTGTAATGTTAACTTGATACTATAAATATATATCTGTACAAGTATATAAAATATGAGTGATATGAATATGACTGGCGATGTTTTATCAGTAGTGAAGCAGGAAATATAGCTACTCATGTAAATGTCATAAATTGATTTAATACACAGCAGCAACCACAGTTTGCAGCTTATACGGACCAAATCAGAGAAAACTTTAAAGAAGTTGACTAAGCTGGTTAACGAACCTGGAGCAGCAGTAAACCCAGAGGTGGGTAGTAACTGTGAATATTTTCAAATGATAGAACCTTTACTTCTACACTCTTAAAAATGGTTCTTTAACAGTTTTTATTTGGAACTACTTTATTTTAACATGTTTCTGTTTGGAACCATGAATTCTAATTGGAACCATTTTTTCCTGCACTCTTAAAAATGGCTCTTTATAAATACAGTGGTTCTGTATAGAACCATAAACACTCAAAGAACACTTTACATGCTTTAATGGTTCTTTGTATGGTAAAATGGATCTTGAGATTGATGGGAAATGTGTTGTATATGGTTCTAAGGTTAGAGAACCTTTTTTTTTAAACAAAAAAAATGCTTCTCTGTACCACCAAAAAGGGTTCTGCTACTGTATGATGTCAAGCTTGTAAACAATAGCAGAACCCTTTTTGGTGCTATATTGAACCAATTTTGAAAAGGTTCTTCATATGAAACACATTCTCCATCAGTCAAAAGAAATAGTTCATTCTGTGTTCATGGTTCTACAGAGAACCATTGTCTTTACTAAAGAACCCTTGAAGAAACATCTTTTTGTGCTTAAATGGTTCTTTGTATGGTGAAATGGTTCTTCAGATTGATGGAGAATGTGTTGTATATGGTTCAATATGGAACCTTTTTCAAAAATGGTTCTATGTAGCACCAAAAAGGGTTCTTATATTGTGACGATGTCAAGCTTGTGACAACAGAAGAATGCTTTTTGGTGCTATATAGAACCATTTTCAAAAAAAGGTTCTATAAAGAACAATATACAACACATTCTCTGTCAATCTGGTTCATGCAAAGAACATTTTAAGCCTGCAAATGGTTCTTTGAGTGTCCATTTGCTTTACTAAACCCTTGAAGAACCACCTTTTTAGAGAGTGTACTTTTAATTGTTTTTGAGAAAAGGAATCTACTTTTTTCAGTTCCATTTTAGTCATTAACTTTTAGCTCCTAATTTCTTTTTTTGTGTTTAATTTCAATCTGTTTTGTCGGTGATCATATCTGTACTGCCCTGTTTACAGTCACATCTCTGACGTTTGAGGTTTGTCACTTTATTTTTGTCCAAACGTGCATCAAAAAGAGAAGAACAGAGTCTGACAAACTGCAGTTCCTGTGCTGATAGATGCTGGATGGACTAAGAAGTTAGGTACGTTGTTTTGTGTCCTGGCTCGTTTGTACTTCTACTACGGTTCTTTTTTGGAAAGGTGCTTTTACTTTTACTTTTTATACACACCTCTAATAATAATAATAATAATAATAATAATAATAAAACGAATAAATTATTAATCATAAAAAAGAATAATTATTATAGTGTCACAGAGTAGACTTAGATGAAGACCATGATAATAATTATGATGATGTGAACATTAAATATGACATATCGCTGCTGTCGAACAAAACCTCATCTCCATGTTTGCCGATTTTCAGTTTTTGACGTAATTTAAAAATGCCTGTTGGCCTTTACATTATGTGTAAGTTTCATGAAGGGCTGACCAAAAGAAACGACCCAAAATTGCTTGGAATAAAGTCTGGTTCCATTGAATGAGTTTACATGCACTCAATAATCTGATAACTGCAGAAAATCAGATTTTTCAGTAATCCGATTAACACGTTTACATGCACTTAGGTAATCAGATAATGGAAAACTCCGGGTCTACGTGACTCAGACAGTGATCAGATTTCTGCTTTACAACCAGCCAATAAACTCACAGAAGAAGACGTGATGTAAACGTAAAGTAAACTCAAACTTGATGCTGTGGCTTTTTTTAAACATCACACCACTTTACCTGAAAATACACATCATCTAGAAGATGAAGAATATTTAAATCCTTTATTTCGTGTTTGGTTTCAGCACCGCTCCAAAAGTGTTTTGCTGCGTCTCGCGACGTCCACCGTCTGATCTCGCGCATGCGCAGACTGAGAAATCCAATAAAAATCGGAGTGAGAGTTTACATGCACTGAGAAATCTGATTACTGAGCTAAAATCCAGCCTCTAATATTTCTTAATTTGATTTCTAGATCGGAGTGTTTGCATGACCATTTGAATAATCGGATAACTGCAGAAATCCGATTATGATCGGATTATTGAGTGCATGAATACACACTCATTGACTTACATTAAAAGTAATGTAATTTAAAGTAAAATATGTTTCTTCCCTCTCCTGTGATGTTATCATGTTGAAGATACGAGGTTTTGCTCTGACAGCAGCGATATACAAACGTTCCCCTCTCAGGTGTATTGATGCTGTAAGCATGTCCAGCAGTGCGGAGCAGGCCGCTGGCCGAAGGCTGATGACTTTTCTGCGTGAGTGGGACCGGGGCAGTGAGCGTGTCCGCCGGCGCATGCTGCTGTCCTTCCTGTCCCAAAACTCTGGAAAGACGAGTCCGGAGCTGGAGCTGGAGTTCGCTCAGGCAGCCAGCCTGTTTCTGTCTCGCATCACTGCCTGGATCAGACTCACGTATCCACACACAGAATCTGACTGCTCTCAGAGTCAAATAATACTATATATATATATATATATATATATATATATATATAATGATAGTGATGGTTATCATGTTGTTTCCTTTACTGTCTTCTCTTCAGCTACATGTTTGGCACATGTCTGGATCTCCAGCTGAAAGCACTGGGAGTTTTCCTCTCAGCTACCAGCAAGTAAGAGAGCTGTTCTGTGCTTCTGCTGCCACGAACATCTCGCTGACCTCAGAGAGAAGCAGGCTGACCTCATATGTTTTGTTTTTTTTTCTGTATTGTCAGCATCCGGTATGTGAAGGAGTTTCTGGAGGTGGGAGGCGTGCTGACCCTGCTGGAGATTCTGGGTCAGAAGCAGACCAAAGAGCCGGACAAGGCTCAAGCTCTCCACCTGCTGAACATCATCTCCAACGCTGGACGCAAGAACAAGGAGCTCATCTGTGAAAGCTATGGTAAACATACTACTGCTCAAAAGTTGGAATCACTCTTTCAATATGAAACTAATTTTGATGCAGATACTTGTATAAAGTGATTCTGATACAATATTAATCATCACAGGTTTCCGGTAACAAGCGTGAAGCTGTTATTTAAGCAGTAGAACACCGAGGGAGTGTGTTATCGCGAAATAACATCACGGCTGTGATTTGGTCGCCGTAGATCATCACAGCCGTGATGTTATTGGCGATAACACACTCCTCGAGTGTTCTATTGCTTTTATACAACAATTAAATAAATAAAGTAATAAATTAATAAACTGGGCCGTGAACGCGGCGTTTAATATGTTTTAATGTTCTCAGTTCCTTCACCAAATTATAGTTCCTTAACAAGCAGCTTGTTGCTACATCAGAGTAACGAGCTCCGCCCACTCGCTGCACAGCCGGCAGTTCGTTCTCCAGCTCCACACAGACCAACTGACAGTTTGGGAATTTGGTGTAGTCTCATCTTCAAAGTCTGACCAAATCGGCTGTCGGTCAAATGTGATCTTAAAAGTGTCCATTTTCTGTTTGTGGCAAAGTAAGAAGTAAAAACGTTCAAATGGCTTGAGCGTCTCCTACAGCTGTCAAATAACAGCACAGTTAGAACACTTCTCAACCAATCAGCTTGCGTGGCCGGAACTAACCGTTGTGTAAATTATAATAAAATTGTATCCAGAATGAAGTTCTACAATTAATGCCCAGAGGGAAATTATAATAACAGAAATGTTCAGAAAGTTTGTCTAAAATTAATATACAGAATGGAGTTCTAATAAAATTAATATTCACAATGAAGTTTTAATAAAATTATTTTGTAGAATGAAGTTATTAAAATTAATATCCAGAATGCCTTCAGAAATCTCCAGACAAAATGATTGTGAACAGATAATTACAGAATATTATTTATGATTTCATAATTTGTTGTTCCGAAAATCCACTGTTATTGTACATAGATTAACAAATTGATTATGATTAATATAACAGGTGATTTGAAACATTTGAATGTTTTTAAGAATTAATAATATTCTTATTATTTTATTGTCATCTTATTTAGATTGTCTTCAGTTTGAACCAGTTTTGAAAAGCATAACATTTTAAAAACACCTCCCAGCTTAACTAGGTGACTGTCTGAATTATTGCCTGAATAATGGTCTCTGTTTCTGGAGTACATTTCCTCACTGTGTTGTGTCTGTGAAGGTGTGCGGGCTGTAGCTGAGTGTTTGGCTCAGTCGGGTTCAGAGGAGACGCAGAGGGCAGCGTCCACTCTGCTGGAGTCCTTGGCTCAGGGGAACCCCTCATACCAGCAGCAGGTGTATAAGGGCTTGATCGCACTGCTGGCCTGCAGCTGCCCCAAAGCCCAGCAGCTCGTGCTTCAGACCTTACGCACAGTGCAGGTACACTGAGCTCAGAGCTAACTTACTATATGGATTATTCATTTAACTGACTTGGACTGCTTTACTTCAGAGCAATGGGATCTAAATGCTCACCGTGTGGCCATGAGGGACAGGGATGCAGCCTCACTTCCTGCTCTAAAATGCAGAGGCGTGGCTAAAATAAGGCTCTTTGTGTTTCGGTAGTGACATGAAAACGTGGGACAGCAATTTTTGAAATTTTATTTAACACTCAGGATGAATCTAAATCTTTCGTCTTTAAAATAAATGAAAAAGATCAAAAAACAACAAACAAGAATTATTTTTTAAGAATTATTATTATTATTTTTTTTATTATTATTATTATTATTTTTATTTTTACCTAATTTTCCCCCCGCTTAGACGGTTACGCCACTCAGGAGCCCTCAAAATTTATTTTTAAGGATTATTCTATATTGTTTTATTTTCTTTTCAGTGTAAATTTTGGGTTTGGGACAGACACCTACCAGTAGAAAGTTCCCTTTCTATGATTAATGGTTTTGTATATATTTAGCTTATTACTGTCTCTATTAATGACTTGGGTTTAAATAGATCATAACATGTGGGAGCACAGTTTTAACTAATTCGGCAGAATGATACACATGTAGGTGTAAAAAGCATGGTGTCACAGGTGTCCATTCCTGGCTCCACCCTCTTCTGTCTCCTCCAGGGACGCCAGTAGGAATTTTGGCCCACTGAAAATTTCATGCATGGTCTTTTACCTCACCTGTCTGCCTTAGAAAACCTCTCACAACTTTAAAGTGTGAGACATTTTCATAATAACCCTGTTTTGTTATTTCTCTATAATTCCAAAACTTACTGTCATCATGCTGTCGTCTCTAGGATGCAAGAAGGTTTGAATATGAAGTAAAACAGATGCAGATCAATATTCTGTGTTCAACTGGCCAAATTTGTAATGATTGTTGCTTTTCAAAAGCACTGCATCTTGGCTACTGAAGTAAAACTGTATAATGAACTGTTTTTGGCTAGTATAGGACAGATTTATGACTCTTTTTTTATGAAAAACATGCTCTTTTATTCAGCTATGGTTCACAAAACGCGGTGGTGGAATTGTGTTTGGTTCTAATTTTTAATTTAATTCTGGCTGAGATTGAAAGGGAGGGTGTTGTCAGCGTACAGAGTGAAACACTTATGTGATACTATTGATTTGCGACAGAAAAACTCAAAAACACTAAACTATTTAGTAGGAAGGGGGGGTTGGGGTGGGGATGTTATTGTTTAGACAGCTTCATCACATCATTAACATCAACAAATCTGAGTGACACTGTCGTCCTCAATTTTAAAGCCTGATTTATGTTTTTTGGTGTTAATTCCAATCACACTGAACTGATTGTTACACAAGGAGGGGCAGCACAATGGAAGATACATTGCAGATGGCACTGTGTCTAAAATTAGTCTTCAATAATCTTCAATTATTAATTAATGAATGAAGTGATTAAATGAGGAATCTTTTTGTAGACCTAAAAATCACATGCAAAAACATGTTTCTTCTGGTCCCTTGAAATATTCCACCCCCCTTTGTGCCACTGCTGTCTTTCTCCTCCCTAATCCTGCCTAATCATTGGTCTCATCTGTGTAGAGTTTGTTCCCTCCCTTTCCCAGGTGTTTTTTTAGTCTTGTCTCGGCTATATGTAGGTGGCAATTCAGACACATCGATGGATGGAATATTAAAATCTTAAATTCTTATTTATTATATGCATTTATTTTAATATTCAAAAAGGAGGCTCTCATTTTTGGCCAAAATGAAATTCTTGGACTATTTTCAAAGGTAAAAAAAAATTGATCTATCATTTTCATTGTCTTTATTCCACAATTTAAAAAAAAGTTGTAGCAAAATAGTAAAGTTGTGGCAAAAAAAATCTAATCTTAGTGACTTTAGAGATTTTGTGATGCTTCAACCCCTTAAAATCTCTTATTACATCCAAAATGTGTTATTTAGTATCTACAGGAACTACAGAAAGCTATTCTTAGGTTATAGAAGTGTTTAACGGGCTGTTAAGGGTTTTAGTTGTTTTCAGTTGTGCATTGTGATTGAACTGTTGTGGAGGCAGAGATTTACACCTCTGTTAGCAGCAGCTTTCTGAGTATATAATAGTGTGATATGTCCATCATGTAGGGTAAACAGCATACAGTAGCTAGCTAATGTAGCATGAACTGAAGTACATTAGCAAAGTTCCCTTCATTCTCTTTGCTCTTGTATGATTTAAAAACGTCTCTATTTTTCAGTCCATTGTGAAGACCACTCATCCTGCTGTTGTGGAGCCCTTGCTGAATTTGCTGCGGTCTTTCCATCTGGAGGTGCAGTATGAGGGTGAGAGCTTTTCTTTCAGTGGTTTAGGCCGATTGCTCAGGCCTTGGTGTGTTTCTGTGACTGTTTATTTAAGCTCTTTGTCCTCTCTTTCTCAGTCATAGAGCTGATTGTAGAGCTGCAGCAGACTGAGGTCAGAACTGCTCTCCTCCGTGCTCTGGTCACTCTGCTGAAACCAGCCCGAGAAGGAGTCCGCAAGCACAAGATACTGCAGGGTTTGACCTCACTTCCTTTTCTTCTCCACTGGCCAGTCAGTTGCTAGCGTGGTCAGGGGCGGTCACTCAGCTCTCAGTGAAGCTGTAGCATCAGTCAGAGCAATAGATTGTTACTCACCCTTATTTGCATAAATCTCAGTAATGCTGCTGTATAAATGCTTGTTTCTTCAGATCGAGAGATGATGAAGATGACGGACTCCTTACCGCTGTTTGTCCAGCAGGCTGCAGCGGCTAAAGCCCTACGGTAATGACACTGCCCATCATTTATAATAAAGAAATATGATTTGATAAAAATAAATATGATTAATGTTTACATATTCACATATTTTGTAAATCCCAGATGCACAACAGACCCAGTATTTTACACCACATTTCATACACATTTTTATTTTTATTTATTGTGAAATCTGCTCATCTTAGCATATTAGCATATTTCCTGTGATAACAGCTAATTGCTGTGAAATTAACAGTGAGCTTTACGGGGTACGGGATGCCCCAAAGCATTGTGGGATCTGACAGGAACTGAGAGTTAAAAAGGCGTAAACATTTTAATGAAAACACTTTGTTTTTATTCTGAAGATTCAGCATTTGTTTTGTTTTAAAGACTTTCAATGTTTTTTATTATTGTTGTAAAAAGTTTTTGTTCATGATTGTGTGAATTCCAAGCAAAGTTAAAATGCCTATGTATTTATTTGCGATTTAAATGCATGTTTGACATATTCTGTGGATATACAGTGCAAAACATGGTGAATAAGCATGTTCATTGAGATTAAGAGTTTGAGGGTTTTTTGATTCAAATATTTATAGGTCTGATAAAATTAAAAGTCAATTATTCATAGGTAAATTTACAGTATGTTACTTGCTACTGAGTTACTTTTACAGCTGCTGTTGTTAAAATACAGCAGATTACTGTATTTTAATTGCAGCTTATTACTGTCCGAATACAGTACATCACAGAAATCTTGGGGTCCAAGTGGCTGTGAGGTCATATTATAAAACTGTTGTTTTACTGTTATTTACTGTAATTTTACAGAGAATTTTGAACAGTTTGTCATTAAAATGATAGTTTGGCAAAATATCAGATTTACCCTGTTTGCGTCATGCTAACTGCATAGCTAAATCATCACATGTCTCAGACTGTGTGGAGGTGTTCAGTGTCTCTAATAGACTGGATTATGTGGTTTCTGACACTGTATGAAACACGGTTATTTATAAACGTGGACTAAAGTAAGCTAAGCTAATTTTGGTCATACTTATGTCCATTTATATAGATTTCTTTGAACTTGTGTTAAATGTTGGTTATTGTTGCAGGATGCTGGCTGAGGGCAGCCAGGAGACGTCTGAAGACCTGATCCATCTCGGGGTGGTGCACCATTTACTGTACGCGATGGGCAATCAGGAGCACACAGACGCTCAGAGACAGGCCAGTCTAGCTCTGGAGGTACAAATCAAAACACCCATATTTTTACACTCTTGCATTATATATTTCCACTTTCATAAGTCCACTTTTGACATTTATGTGGTTTTATGTACCAAGTACCATTTTCCAACGTTTCTTTATCCCATAAAATTAAACAGGCTGTTTTCTGTTACTGTGCTTTTAAGGCTGATATATGTAAATGACCTCTGTGGTGGTATTATTTTGCAGTGGTGGACAGTAACGAAGTAAATGTAATTCGTTACTGTACTGTAAATTCATTTTGTCTAGTTTATGTTTATGAACAGAGACCTACAGATGCAGTTTAGTAAAGGAAACTCATTTGTGAATCTGAGTTTAAAGTTTTTATTAAACTTAAATTTGTAACTAAGTTGCAAATAAATCTTAAACTGAAACTTTGCTTGTTTGTAAAAAGTTATTTCAGAGCCACTCAGTTCTACCTGATGGAAACTGTTCGCCTTCAGTGTTTTATGCTTATGATAATTTTAATAGACATCAGCGTCACTAATTAATGACATTCTGTTAAAAGACTGGTTTACCAAGAGGGACACTGGAGTATTTTCACCTAAAATGAGTTAATGAAGCAAGAGACTTGACACAAACATGGATTTTAGTACTTTTACTTTCACTACTTAAGTACATTTGAAGGCAAATACTTTTGTACTTTTACTCAAGTCTAAAGGGAGGAACTTCTACTTTTACTGGAGTAATGTTTTACCTTGGGTACCTTTACTTTAACTCAAGTACATGATTTGTGTGCTTCGTCCACCACTGCTATTTTGACTCTCAAAAAGCAGTGCGGGCTGAAACACTCCTTATAACCTAAGCATGAATGGACAAGTTACCCTTATGTAGGTTAAGTAGGCAGGGATTTGTGTTGGTTTTTATGACATCACAAAAATAATGAATTTAAAACAGGCTGGTTTTCCTAGTGTCCATATATAGACTGTATGGACTGGGCAGTGAACAGTACATTTTGACACTTTAACAGTGTTTACATAGTACTCTAGACTCTATAATTAAAAAGAGAAAGTATTTCATGATATGGGCCCTTTAAGTGTGCCTACTGCACTTCATTCCACAACGTACGTAAGTCTTAATTTGTCATAACATAATGACATTAATTAACCTGCTCAGTCAAGAGTTTGATTTACATCACATACATATTTAAAGGCATGTCTATAATTATTTACATTATAATTAATTAAATGTTACATATTACACAGTTATGTAATTAATTACATATAAATTGGATTTATGTCCTACACTGGCAGGGTCAAGACTGTTTCTGCAAAACAGAGTTGGATACACAACAATTACAAATCATAATAAAACATCTCCTATTCTACTTGTAAACACAAGTGTGGTTCAGACTGAAAGTTTAGAATTTATACTTTCCACTCAATTTCTCCTCATTTCTCCTCATTCAATGAGCTACGAGAGAGAGATAATTCATATAGAATTGCAGCTGCTTTTGGTATCAGCAGTGATATTGTGATTTTTGTGTCTGTGCAGCATTTTGTGCGCTCATATCCAGTGGTGGAGGAACATGTGCGCACGGCTATGGGACCCGGTCTGTTCAGCTCATTCATGGTGGGTCACTGCATTTGGAGCAAGTTACAGATAAACTGATTCCAAATCTCTAATATAGCTTTCTGCACATTTCCAGCACAACGCTGAGCTGCTGTACATGAGCATGGATGGAATTCAGGCTGATATTTTACTGTCAAACAGAGTAAATATTTCAAGAGGTATTCAAAAAAAAAAACGTTTTTGTCTTTTTTCTCTTATTCATATTTCATATTTCAGAATTCATATATACACTCCTCACTTTATTTACTTTTTTAGAAACCACTACCTATGTTAGCTCCACCTCTTTGTTAGCTCCACTTACCTACTATAGAGATGTATATGTGGTCAGAAACTTTGAGGAAGCACTAGAGGACGGCTAGCACAAACTATGCATCCACAGATGGGCTTCCATCTCTAACTGTACACCAGCAAGGTGGAGCTAAAAGGGAGGGGTTTCTAATAAAGTGGCCAGGGTGTTTATATATTTTTCAAAATGAAATTAAAAAATCTCTCTTTCATTCCAGAACTTGAAGAGCAGAATGTAGAATCCTGACCGTAACTGGACAGAAGTGGACCGACTAGCTTCAGTTTTTTTTTTTATATCTATGCTAACTATGCATTTTAAATCATATTAAAATCAACAGCTGATTTTTCAGGAGTCGCTCTGTCAATCTGTGTCTTTGTGTTATTCTTCTATTAATTATTATTATTATTATTATTATTATTATTATTATTATTATATATTTTTAGAAAACACTCAGTCATTTTATAGATAAAATTACTATTATTATACTAACTATTATTATTGTTATTACCCTTAATGCTATTACAACCACTATTATTACTACTAATAATAATAATGATAAGGTGTATTGTTTGCAACGCATTTTTCTAATATTCTAATATGTGATATCATTTTCTAATAGTAATTAAAATTATATTGTAAAATTACTGTTATATAAATACTTTCATAGCACGTTATTACGGGTAATAAGGGTTGGGAACGCATTTGATTGGCTGCGTATCCTACACTCGCATTTGATTGGCTGGGAATTGTACGCTTGCATCTGATTGGTTGTTCGCTCTCTCCGCCTCTAGGAAGTGCAGCGCATGGCGGGTTTTCTGTTTCCACCGCGTTATGAAAACAAACCGTGTTAAAGTTCAGCAGATTTGATCAAATTAATATGGAGGAATGTTTCCATCACGAACGCAGGATTTATGAGTAAATAGGCGGATTTTACTCCCACACAGCGGGCGGTAAGTGGCGGCTCCGCTGCACGGCTGTAAGTAAGTAAAGTTTATTTACAACAGGTGTTGTCACAAAGCAGCTTTACATGGAAATCAGCGTTACAGAAAGAAATCCGGGTCCAAATCCCCATGAGCGTCGCCAGTGGCAAGGAAAAACTCCCTAAAAGAAACAAGACGAAACCTTGAGAGGAACCAAGACGAAAGAAGGGGAACCCATCCTCCTCTGGTCGACACCGGACAGTAAACATTGTTATTATAAAGTATTATAGTACAAAAACAGGGAAAGAGGTGGAGCAAATTATTAATTTGATTAGTTTAGTTCATGCAGCAGCAGCAGCAGCATCAGCATCAGTGGGGTCAGGTTGTGGGGGTGAGGTTTGCAGGGCGAGCAGTGGCACCTGATCGAGGCAGAAGAGGCAGCAGTATCAGACGCACAGGATGGGCAGCTGTTCAACTCGGCAAAGGAAAGAAAGGAAAAACACACAGAGTCAGTTCTGCAATGGGTGATTGATTAATTTGATTAGTTTAAATGATTGATTAGTTCAAACGATTAATTTTGATTAGTTCATGTAGCAACAGCAGTAGTATCAGTGGGGTCAGGTTGTGGTGGTAAGCCGGTCCAGAGGGCTGGCGAGCAGTGGCACCCGATCAAGGCAGAAGAGGCAGCAGCATCAGACGCACGGGATGGGCAGCTGTTCAACTCGGCAAAGGAAAGAAAGGAAAACACACAGAGAGTCAGTTCTGTAATGGGTGACCGATCACAGATTACAGTGTTAGCAGAGCAGCAGAGACTCTGGCAGGTATAGAACCGACAGGGAAAACTAATTACCAAAGGCTCGACTATACAAGTAAGTTTTTAGCCTAGACTTAAACACTGAGGCTGTGTCTGAGTCCCGGACATTAACAGGAAGACTATTCCAAAGCCCCCCCGGGCTTTGTATGAGAAAGCTCTCCCCCCTGATGTAACTTTATTAATTCTAGGCACTAATAGTGAGCAGCACCTTGTGATCTAAGTAGGCGTGATGGTTCATAGTGGGAGAGAAGTTCACTCAGGTACTGAGGGGCGAGTCCGTTTAGAGCTTTATAGGTCAGTAAGAGAATTTTATAATCAATCCAAAATTTAACTGGTAACCAGTGTAAGGTTGATAAAACTGTGCTGTACTGTACTGTGTATGATTCACTGTGCTGTGCTGTACTGTACTGTACTTTGCTGTGCTGTACTGTGCTGTACTGTACTGTACTGTGTATGATTCACTATGCTGTGCTGTGCTGTACTGTACTTTGCTGTGCTGTACTGTGCTGTGCTGTACTGTGCTGTACTGTACTGTACTGTGTATGATTCACTATGCTGTACTGTACTTTGCTGTACTGTACTGTACTGTGCTGTGCTGTGCTGTACTTTGCTGTGCTGTACTTTGCTGTGCTGTACTGTGCTGTGCTGTACTGTGCTGTACTGTACTGTACTGTGTATGATTCACTATGCTGTACTGTGCTGTGCTGTGCTGTACTGTGCTGTGCTGTGCTGTGCTGTACTGTACTTTGCTGTGCTGTACTGTGCTGTGCTGTACTGTACTGTGTATGATTCACTGTACTGTACTGTGCTGTGCTATACTGTACTGTACTGTGTATTATTCACTGCGCTGTACTGTACTGTACTGTACTGTGTATTATTCACTGTGCTGTACTGTACTGTGCTGTACTGTGCTGTGCTATACTGTACTGTACTGTGTATGATTCACTGTGCTGTGCTGTACTGTGCTGTACTGTATATGATTCGCTGTGCTGTCAGTTTAGGCTCAGTTTTATGCGGCTGTTATCCAGGATCAACACGATGAGCAGGTTCAGATCTGTAAAGGGGAAGCGAGCAGCGCTGGAGGACACACAGGACACAGCACAGGTCAAATCCAGCAAGAGAACAAAGCCTAAAGTTCCTCAAGTTAAAGAAGGTGAGCTGCACAGTAACTGCGCTGATTTATCATCCTAACAAGCTTGTGCGTCTCTAGATGATCACTTTACCACTCATACACACAAATATGGTTCTTCAAAGGTCTTTAGTAAAGGCAGTGGTTCTGTTTAGAACCATGAGGTCTATTTAGAACCATTTCATGCTTGAATGGTCCTTCAGATGGATAGAGAACGTGTTGTATATGGTTCTGTATAGAACCTTTTTTAAAAATGGTTCTATATAGCACCAGAAAGCGTTCTTCTATTGCATACAAGTTTGACGTCATAACAATAGCAAAACCCTTGCTGGTGCTATATGGAACCGTTTTCAATAAAGTTCTATATAGAACCATATAAAACATCAATCAAAAAAAACATTTCACCATGCAAACACTATTTATGCATAAAATGGTTCTGTACAGAACTTATGGTTCTATATAGACACATTGTCTTTACTAAAGAACTTCCAAGCTAGTTACACTTATTGGCCATTTTATCAGAAACACTGACTATATAGGTGGGCTTTGTAGGTTTACAGATACAGACTGCAGCCCATCAGCTGCTGCACATCTCATCAGTGGAAGGGGACCACCATAGGACCACCTCTGACCAGACGTTATTATTTGGGTGGTGGTCCACTCACAGCACTGCAGTGATGCTGACATGATGGTGTTTGTCACAGTGAGTGCGTTTACATGCACTTAATAATCTGATAACTGCAGAAAATTTGTCAGTAATCCGATCAACGTGTTTACATGCACTTGAGTAATCAGATAATGGGAAACTCCGGGTCCACATGAGTCAGGCCGTAATCGGATTTCTGCTTATAATAAACTCCAGAAGCACTGCTGTGTCTGATTCACTCGTACCAGCACAACACACACTAACACACCACCACCACGTCAGTGTTACTGCAGTGCTGAGAATGATCCACCACCCAAATAGTACCTGCTCTGTGAGGGTCTGTGGGGGTCCTGACCACTGAAGAACAGGGTAAAAGGGGGCTAACAAAGTATGCAGAGAAACAGATGGACTACGGTCTGTAACTGTAGAACTACAAAGTGCACCTATATAGTAAGTGGAGCTGATAAAATGGACAATGAGCGTCGAAACAAGGAGGTGGTCATAATGTTATGCCTGATCGTTGTAAATAAAGTCGGATGGCCATTGGCTGGTGTTTTTGAAGAAAAGAAGTCTCTAAAAACTTTAAAATGCCTATGAGCAAAAGATATTTGTCCACAGAGACAAAAAACAAGGTGAAAAGGTGCATAGTTCTCTTTTTATTAATTTTTAAACTCACTATTTTCATCGTAAACTTGACATTTTTAGCAAGCCATGCTGTCAAGTAAATACTGTTGAAAATCTGGCTGAATATATTTGGGTGGACGGTCCACTCTCAACCTCGCACTGACGCTGGTGTTTTTGTAAACGCGTCAGTAACACTACTGTGTTTGAAACACTCGTACCCATACATCCTCTAAACTGCTTATCCTTCTGGGTCGTGTTGGGGAGCTGGAGCCTATCCCAGCTGTCACTAGGCGGAAGGCAGGATACACCCTGGACAGGTCGCCAGTCCATCGCAGGGCAACACTTGTACCAGCATTACACAAACTACCATCTTAGTGTCACTGCTGTGCTGAGAATGGACCACCACCTAAATTATATATATATGCAACAGCAGTCCTGTGGACAGAAAGTGACCAGTGATAAATGTGGTAAAGGGGGCGACCCTGTGAAAACGATCGGAAACTTCAGACTCATGTAAGGAATTTCTAAAGTTGTGATAAGATCATCTGTCTCTCCTAGAAGAGTCCGCTGAACTGTCCTCGTATCACTTCTTCAATGACCCTACTGAACAGAGGCTCTTTCGTTCTCATCTGCTGTCCTGGTATGACCAGAACAAGAGAGAGCTGCCATGGAGAACACTGGTACACAGATTTAATCTAATCTAATCTAAAGCAGTGTTGGGATTGGTTTCGCGTGGGGAGGCGGAGTAATTTAATTTTACCACAGCATGTTTGTAATGTTTATGAGAGATTCATACTGGATAAGAAATCTCAGTATAGAACAGTTAGTTCCGGCCACACGAGCTGATTGGTTGAGAAGCATTCTAACCGTGCTGTTATTTCGCCATAACATCACATTTTTCACGAAAACTGTGTCACTCCGCTGAGATGCTGTTGCTAAGCAACGACTCTGACAGCTGTAGGAGACGCTCAAGCCATTTGAACGTTTTTACTTCTTACTTTGCCACAAACAGAAAATGGACACTTTTAAGATCGTATTTGACCGACAGCCGATTTGGTCAGACTCTGAAGATGAGACGACACTAAATTCCCAAACTGTCATCACCACTGAGCAGCTTTTCAGTCGGCAGCTGTGACAGAAGAACAGCTGAACAACCTGGAATCAGCCAGAAATGAACCCAACACCATTCGCCAAACTAAATGGGCTGTAAGATGTACCCTAGAGAGGACTACCACAGTGACAGGAGGGGCACTGCCCCAGTGAAAGTTTCATACCTTTATTTCTGAGAGTGTATCAAACAAGATTAATGTAAGATCAAGTTACTTTAATGTTTTGTTTTATAGCACAAGATTAATATAAGTTGGGGTTATTTCTGCTGTCCGTTTCATAGGTCAAAGTCACCAGAATCTTTACTAAGTCTGTACCCATCAGTCCGTAAAAACGACTGAGAAACGGTAATAATTACATTACCCACCTCCCCATATTAAACTAATCCATCCCAGTAGTACTTTTGACTGTATTTCCTGAAGAGGAACTGAATGGGACATATGACATTACATAGTTCGTCCCCTTGGAATTGTAAGGTTTTATATGGCATTGTTGTCAAAATTGAGTTGTTCACATTTTCTTATTCTCTGACAACCTTTTAACATTATGTGAGGTGTATGTTGTCTGCATTTTTGAACTCTTTTATCTAGAAAACAAAAAGGTTCTGTCTCCAAACTCAAACTCTAACTTGGTTCTATAAGGTTCTATCTGCGAGCCAATCAGCACTTCGAATGCAGACAAGAGGACCAATTAGGTTCTGCTTCTTTGTCATGTTGCCGCACTGCTCAGTGAAAAGTTTATAAAACTTTATGAAACAAAAACAAATCATCTTTTTTTCTTATTCAAAAAAAGCATTAATTGATAGATTAAGTATAAAAGGTCAGCGCTAAATAGTTTGTCCAGAGCAGAACCTGATTGGTCCTCTTGTGTGTATTCGAAGTGCTGATTGGCTCGCAGATAGAACCTTATAGAACTAAGTCTTCTTACAGCTCTTCAAAAGTCTTACTGTCTTATTATTATTATTATATTAAGCCTTAAAGGTAATTAAATAATATACATTTGAATTGATGGGGTCTTAATTACAACATTAATTTCATTCTTTCATCCATCTTTTCTTTTTTTCTCCTTTCCTCCAAAATAAGACATTTTGGCTCATAAGAGTCACATTTCTGATATAACACACTGCCTTTACACTGACCTGCTACACTGACCTGCTGGGACAGTTTATTACAGTAGCTGGTGCTGTCTGAGCTGATTGAAGCTTAAACTAATGGTTCCTAATAATAATAATTCTAAGACAACAAGACTTTTTAAAGAGCTGTAAGAAGGCAGGCAGAGTTTAGAGACAGAAACAAAAAGGTTCTGTCTCCAAACTCAAACTATAACGTTCTATAAGGTTCTATCTGCGAGCCAATCAGCACTTCGAATACACACAAGAGGACCAATCAGGTTCTGCACTGGACAAAATATTTAGCACTGACCTTTATACTTAATCTATCAATCAATGCTTTTTTGAATAAGAAAAAAGATGATTTGTCCTAAATTAAAAAATAAACAACTCAAAATAAATGGCATAAAAATGTCTTAGAAAGCTTTAAATATAACTTTCTGTAAATGTAGACACTCAGTTTTTGTTTTAAAACAGATTACGAATATAAACTGTTTATTTTCCTTGAAAATCTTTGCTTCTTTTCACGTTTTGCCAGATGGAACCTTATAACTCCAAGCAGAAAGTGAGTTCTTGGTATTAAAAAGTTCTATCTGCATTTGACCTCTCCCAAAACTCATTTACAAATCTGATGTGGTTTTGATATTGTACATTTAGAATAAATTTAGAGTGTCTGTCCTGTTCGCGTATTAAAGAAACGTGTTCCACTGATCAGTTTCACTATTAGGAATCCAAAATCTGAAACTCGATATCTCAAAACTGCGCAGATAGAACCTTATCATTCCAAGGGGGCGAGTTGTACTGATTATTTCATTCTCTTTGTGTTTAAAGGCCATGACTGAGAAGGACATCAGTATCCGGACATATGGAGGTAATTCTGAGTGTGAATGTTTGTATGATGTAGTTATCGAGTGATCCGTGTGTGTGATTCGCTCGTTTGTCTGTCTTCTGCCAGTATGGGTGTCGGAGGTGATGCTGCAGCAGACTCAGGTTGCTACAGTGATAGAGTACTACAACAAATGGATGAAGGCAGGTCTCCCCTCTGTGTATTTATTTACTTTTTTTGTGTGAATATTTGTTTCCTGGATTGTATTTTAGTGTTTAATTTAAGGACATTTGATTGTTTTTTACACATCAGAGGTGGCCAACAGTGCAGAAACTTGCAGAAGCTTCACTGGAGGTGAGCAGGAACTGTATCTGTATATAAGTAGAGGGATGTTATTTGTCAGATGTCGGAATGTAACACAGGTGTTTGTTGGCAGGAGGTGAATCAGATGTGGGCAGGCCTGGGATATTACTCTCGTGGACGGAGGCTGCATGAAGGAGCTAAGAAGGTTTTTTAAAGCTGCTTGTTGAATTTGACTATGTGTTGAATGGTCATATGGCTATGGCTACATTCACACAGCAGGTAAAAGTGGCCTAAATCTGATTTTCTCCCAAAATCAGATTTTTTTGGCTGTTCACGATATTTTTTAAATGTGATCTATAGGCGACATCAGTCTGAACAGATCAGCTCCTAAACTGACCCACATGCGCTAAAGATCAGAGCGTCACGCTGCTTCACGGCTCATCCAGAGGTAAACAATCACGACCGCCAACGAACGCCAGTCGCTCCCGGAGGATCAGCTTCATCTTCACCAGCATCACAGGAGCCGTCATGAAGCTTCACTGACTGACAGCTGGGCTCATCACCCAGAATGTGTTCGAACTTCTTTGGTTCGCGTCCTCGGATTCTTTAAACTTTGCTTTCAGACTTTTTAACTGTTCTTTGACGCTGCAGCCTCGTTCTCCTGCGGCCGCGTTCGGCCTTTTCTTTCGAAATCTCTTCAAACAGGGAGGCGTTTTGGATGAGTCTCTTCTCATTTTTTTGTACAGAAACATCAGCCCAAAAGTTTATGAGGTCTCAGCAGCATGAAACTGTGACGAATGTTGAGTTGTATGAATTCCAATCTGGCTGTTCAGACAGAGTCGCATAGCCTCTGATACATATCAGATATGTATCGGATTTCAGTACCACATACAAAGAGTCTCAAAACAGAATGGAAAATGTCAGATTCAGTGTGTTTTTTGTTGTTCACACTGACACATCTGTGTCACATATGAAGAAAAAGATCGGATTTGGGCCACTTTTACCTGCCGTGTGAACAAAGCCTATGTGATGACAGTAAATCTGTATTATGTACAGTAGCAGTTAGAAATTGCACCGACACCAGGTTGGTAGAAAGTGCTGGATGGGATATCAGAGGGAAAAAAGAAGAAATGTGATCCGGTCTCTTACAAATGTATCCTTAAACAGTGGGTGATGTGATGCTGTTAGCAGTGTAGAGCTCTCTGTGGCGTTAATAGAGTGAATAGATGCTCATCTTAAGAGAAGTGTTTTAGTTAAAGTAGCTTATATTAAAGGGCTCATATCTCATATATATATATATATATATATATATATATATATATATATATATATGTATATGTATGTGTATATATATATATATATATATATATATATATATATATATATATATATATATATATATATATATCCTATATAGCATTTTATTGGGTTTTATTTTTTCCCCTCAAGTCCTCTTATCACATTTGTGTGGTCTTATTTACCAAAAACAGTAATAGTTCATTTATACGTGACTTTTTTGTTTTCGTTACTGTACCTTTAAGACCAATATATGCAAATAATCTCTGTTCTGATAGGCTGTCCTGTATTGTGGCTAGTTCAAAAATCCGTTCAGGCTTAAACACTCTTATGACTTTAGTGTGAATGAGAGGAGCTGAACTGCTGTATTCTGAATAGGCAGGTTTATCTAAACGTATTGGTCACAAAAACAGTCAGTTCAAAACAAGCTGTTTTTTTGGCTTACTTCCCATATATGGGCTGTGTGTGTGAGTCAGCAGTATGTTTTTAAACTTTAACAATCTTTTTTGTACTACATCAAACTATTTTATTTATGATACGGGCCCTTTAAGGCTTAGTAAGTAGTAGTAGTAGTATTTAGTAGTTTAGTAGTATTTAATGGTGGTTTTTTTAAAGAAAGAATATAAGATCATTACAGGCTGATTGTCAAGGTTCCAAGTCTTTGAATGAAAATGTCTTTCAGGTGATGGAAAACAGACTTTGAACTGCTGCTGTACTGATTCTCTGTGCTCTGTGCTTGATTTGTGGTATCGGTGCTGTAGGTGGTGAGTGAGCTGGGTGGGGAGATGCCCAGGTCTGCTGAGGCTCTTCTGAAGCAGCTGCCAGGAGTCGGCCGCTACACCGCCGGGGCCATCGGCTCCATCGCTCTGGGACAGGTAAACCATCTAAATCAATCACCCTAAATATTCCTATTGCTGAACATGCAAACACAATCTTTCTTATCCACTTACTATAAACATGATTCTGTTGAGGGTTACAAAATCTGTAGGTCAGAAGTGTCCACACTTTCTTCGAAGAGGGCTGGATCGTACCACGTCAAAATACCTGAGGGCTGGGGGCTCCCGAGTGGCGCAGCCATTTAAGTGTTGGCCCTATCATCAGGAGATCGTGAGTTCGATCCCTGGTGATGCTACAGCCGTCCGTAGCCGGGAGTCTGAGAGAGCACAATTGGCCTCGCTCTCTCTGGGTGGGTGGGATGGCTGCCTTTCTCCCCCCATCACTCACTCAGCGCGAGTCAGTGAAGGCGTCTGTTAGCTGACGCAACAGATCTGGCGGTTGGCGCTTTCCTCCGAGCGCGCTCAGCTGTCCAGTGACGTTGCGTGAGCGGCAGCTCGAAAAGAAAGCGGTGGCTGGCTTCATAGGTCTCGGAGGAACCTGTGTTAGCCTTCACCCTCCTAGCGTTGATAGTGTTGTGTGTGATTGGGGGAGTCCTAACCAGCGGGTGGAATTGGAGACGACTAAATTGGGGAGAAAATTGGGTACCTGAGAGCTGAAATATTATTTACAAATGATTCAAAATATTAAGTTTTCAAAATATCTTTGCATAGAATTGGAGCATTGTGTATGATACTGTGTTTCCTATCACTGTATAAAAGATGCTTGATGCTTCTTTTTTGCTGGATTGCTCAGAGCAGTTAGGATTGGTAAGTACTTATGACAAATAATTTAAATGTAATAATTTAAGAGTAACAATAAACCATGACTAATATGTTAAGTATATTGATGTTCAATTACTTCAAATATATAATATAAACTAGATAAACTAAACAAAAATCTGTAAATTATCGGTTTTGTTAGATAATGTTCCTTAAATGTCAAAGAAATTCAGCAATCACATTTAAAAATCACTGTATTAAACATGCAGAGCAGATTAAACAGCATAAATATCCAAGTTCGACCTTTAGTTGTTAATATTTACTGATCAACTGAATTTGCTCTGATTAGAAGTTGGTGCTGTGAGACTCTGCAGCTGCTTAATTTCTCTGCCTTCTCCTCAATATTTATTGTAATATCCATGCTTTGTTTCATGTTTATTGATATTATAGTCTTTTGAAATATGAGGCGCATTTGCTGTGGCTGTCGATAAAAAAAAAATTACATTAAAATTCTTTTCTCGCCAAAATCGCTGGTTTTCAATGTTAAGTTTGTGCTTTTTATAGTCTGGACTAAATGTGGGTCAGTAAGTGAAGTTGCAGGTGCAGTCAGAGATGAAAGGCTCTTAATCTTTAGCTAACTTCATTACCGCAGTGCAGCATGTTGCTCTGTAATTTTACGGTGCTGCTGCCACCATCAGGTGAAAGGAAGAACTGCAGCTTACTGGCTGGCAGGCCACTTATAACACACTCTAAAATAGAAGCTACGGGTCAATTAAAATCGCTCCACGGACAGCGTTTGGCCCTGGGGCCAGACTTTGGACACCCCTGCTGTAGGTCTTTGTTCTAGCTGGCCACCGTAGCACTTTTCCAGAGGTAAAAAGAGCAGAGTGGAGAGGTAGACAGTTAGATAAACTTTTCCTGTAAATACAGTGAAATCAAACAAATATCATAGAAAACAGAGCAGTGTGTCTGAAACTTGAAGAAAGGAAGAAAGAAAGGAAGGCAGTAAAGACAGAAAAGGATAAAACAGGGAAAAAAGAGGATGGAAAGAAGATAAATGAAGGAGGAAAAAGAAGAAGCATGGAAGGAAGAGAGGAAAAAAAGGCAAGAAGAAGAGAAAGAAAGGAAGGAATGAAGAAAAGGAATGAAGGAAGAAAAAAGAAAGAAGAAGGAAACTAAAAGTAAGGAAAGAAGGAAGGAAAAATGAAGGGAAGGAAGAAAAGAAATAAAGGAAAAAGCATCAGAAAATAAAAGTCCTCAACAACATAAATTATAGAGTTGAGGGTTATTTTTATTCATTTACATATATCTGCTTATTCAGTCTGCAGCAGTTTAGCTCCGCCCACTCACACTGAAGCTAATAGGAGGGTTTCAGTTCTGATTGCTTTTTTAAATGTGGCACAATACAGGGCAACCAACCAGAACAAAGCTCATTTACATATAGCAGTCTTAAAGGCACAGCAACAAAAACAGTCAAAAGGTTAAAAATGTAAAAATGTATTATGATGAAAAGTGTAATATGTAGTAAAATAATTATATATAATAAAAATGAATGTATTTTGGTATATTAACACAGATCTCATACGTAAAATAAAATACAAAAGAATGTTGTTGTTTTTTTTCCCCACTTAAAACCAGAAGTCCTGTTCATATGATATGACAGATTGTACTGCACTACAGGAAGTGAAGGGGGCGATATGGCTTCTGCTGTTTTGTTGCACTATACAGAAGACAGTTTGCCACACAGGGGCAAATCATTTATCAAGTAAACATTCATTCACATTAATCTACTATAGAAACAGCCCCTGTAGCCCTACACAGGAGTGACTGGGTGGTGTGGAGTGCAGGAACAAACACTTTCAGACGCTGTAGCCCTCACTGACTACCAGAGTCCTGCATGATACCTTAAATACTCAGAGTTTCTCAGTTGATATATTCTTATTCTTTGATCTCAGCACTTCTGCGATCCCTGGTTTATGTTTTATTTGACCGGAGGTTTTCTAAGTCTCACAGCCTTATTGTTACAGGTTACAGGTGCTGTGGACGGGAATGTGATTCGGGTCCTGTGTCGAGTTCGGGCGATTGGAGCAGACAGCACCAGCCCTCCGGTCACTGAGGCACTGTGGTACGCAGGGGGATGCTGTGGTCAAACTGGATTGTAGATTCTGTCCTGATTCTCCTCAGTTCAAAACTGTTTAGATGGACAGGTGGATGGACTGGTGGATGAACGGGTGGATGAATGAGTGGTTATGGGCGGGCGGGTGGGTGGATGGATGGTTGGTTATGGACGGGTGGGTGGGTGGTTATGGATGGGTGGATGGGTGGTTATGGACAGGTGGGTGGGTAGATGGTAATGGATGGGTGGATGGGTGGTTATGGACAGGTGGGTGAATGGTTATGGATGGGTGGATGGGTGGTTATGGACGGGTGCGTGGATGGTTATGGACGGGTGGGTGGGTAGATGGTTATGAATGGGTGGGTGTATGGTTATGGACGGGTGGGTGGGCAGTTAAATGGGCTTGGGGGGGATGGTTATGGACAGGGGGATGGTTATGGTCGGGTGGGTGGGTGGATGTTATGGACAGGTGGGTGGATGGTTGTGGATGGATGGATGGGTGGGTTGGCGGTTGGATGGGCTTGGGTGGGTAGATTTTGGTACTTTATGAAACAGTTTGAAACATCATGAAACCCCAAATGTTAATACAGTTTGATTGCTTTATTGGGGTAATTTTGGTGCTACATTAGCATGAACACTAGACAGGATGTATACATAATAATAAACAGACTTATATTTGGCAATATTACATTGAATTAAACATTTACACATAAAACACAGTACAGTAACATGAATAGTGCAGAAAACAATAACATCAAACAAAAACTGTCAGTTAATAGTCACATAGTGGCCAAAGTGGCGAATATGAAGACGTGATTTTTTTAATTACATGATTTTATTATATTTTTATTTTATTCTCATCAGCATATTTGCATGTCATTGTGTTGCACGATTATGGAAAGGGGTCATTTCTTTGTACCATTTTAGGAACATAGCAGACACGCTAGTGGATCCAGAGAGACCTGGAGATTTTAACCAGGCTTTGATGGAGCTGGGGGCCACAGTGTGTACCCCTAAAACCCCACTTTGCGGTCAATGTCCTGTTCAAACTCACTGCCACGCCTATAAGAAGGTAAAATAGCAGTGCCCTCAGAACACTCTCTGTTCCTGCAGAACCCCCAGCAGTCTAAAACTGTACTCTGTGTTTGTTTCAGGTGAGCTTAAAACAAGAGAAAGACACCAAAAGACTTCTAAGCAAACTGGACTCAAAGCTGAACAGCGCTGTTCCTGATATAGAGAACTGCTGTAAGTTCAGATTATGTTATTCAAAGACGTATTTGTGTGTAGTTTTACAGTCTGACAGTAATAATTGTGGAGCGATTTTAATCCAGTATGAATCTGCAGTGTGTAGTTTTACAGTCTGACAGTAATAATTGTGGAGTGATTTTAATCCAGTATGAATCTGCAGTGTGTGTAGTTTTACAGTCTGACTGTAATAATTGTGGAGTGATTTTAATCCAGTATGAATCTGCAGTGTGTGTAGTTTTACAGTCTACAGTAATAATTGTGGAGTGATTTTAATCCAGTATGAATCTGCAGTGTGTAGTTTTACAGTCTACAGTAATAATTGTGGAGTGAATGATCTAATAGGCTGAACCTGGATCTCCCTGAGTAAAAGTAGTACTGTTTTAATTTACCTCATACCGATGAAATAAAACCTGCTAACAGACACAGCTGTACGGCTTATTTTTATAAAGTGTGGTGCCTGTAATCTTTATCCTGTACCAAGTGACCAGTTATATCAGATTCCAGGTTATTTTACCTAAATCTGCACTGGTAAAACTAATCCAGTCATGTCAAATTCTAACATGTTCACAAAAACACGCAGTAATCCTGTATGTTATTATTTTATTGGTGCAGTGAGTGGTAGCTGTAACCTCTGCCTATCTGAGGGCTGGGACGGTGAGCTGGGGGTGCAGAATTACCCCCGAAAACCCGTGAAGAAAGCCCCTCGTGTGGAGCGGACACTAACTTGTGTCCTGCAGCGGCAGAGTGACCAGGGGCACGTTGAATACCTGCTCACCCAGAGACCCAGTAAAGGTACAGCATCTTACAGAGTAGGTAATTGCTCAACTCTGTGGGTGGGATAAAGTATTCAGGGGGGATTAGTTGTCTATAAAGTCTGTAAATATTATTGTAAAGATGTTGTACACTGCAAAATAATCTGATTAGAAATAACGACAGTGTATATCAATGCTGTGCATATTGACATGTTGGTAAATATTAAATCGTATCATATAGAACAGAAGTCTTCACAGTTTTTCTTAAAGGGCCCCTTACCCTTATTAAGCATTTTTCTTGTATTTTATTTAATTTCCCCCCTCCCCAGTTCACTTATAAAGTTTGTTTTTGGTTTTGTACCAAAGTTTTTGGGTACAAAACCAATCATGAATAATTTCTGAATAACCATTTTCAAACCTCTCTTTACCCATATATGTAAATGTGTTGGTTTTCATGACCTCACAGAAACAGTGAATTCAAAATGTGCAGTTTTCATACATGCACTATAGGGACTGGGGAGTGAACAGTATGTTTACACTCTTGACATACTACATCAAACCGCAAGGAAATTCCAGTTTTCTGTTATACAGGCTCTTTGAGAACAGAGGCGCTTGAGGAAGCATTTACCTGAATTCTCTGTTTTCCCTCAAAAAAAGCCAGTAAGCATTAGCATAAAGTGTGAGATGGTTAATATGAAAATCTAGATGCAAAATTGCTGTAGTCTTAATTAATCATTTGGGTTTTTTTTTCAGAGAGGATTTTCACCAAAAAGAAAATACCATTTTTGACCATTTTGGCCAAAATGTTTCAATGGCTGAAATTTCGTTGCTTCCCTATCGATTAGAGGAATAATGTAGTACTGCAGTGCAGTAATGCAACGTCTCAGTACTCTTAATTCAGTGGTTCCAGCCCTGTTCCTGGAATACTTACTGTAATGACCTGATTAGCTTTATGACAGACTTTGCAGAGAGCTGATGGGTTTGGTCAGGTGTGCAGCAGTAAACCCTGAATGCAGACAGCTAAGACTGCAGTACTACTGAGCTGCAGTGATACTTTTCACAGCTGAGATATAATTTGGCTCTGCTGTTGGTTTCCAGGGCTTCTTGCAGGAATGTGGGAGTTACCCAGCATGCTGTTAGAGGAGGGCATCTCTGAGAAGAAGCACAGAAGCCTGTTAAGTGCTGAGGTGAAGAGGATTCTGGGAACATCACCAGATGAAGAATCTTTTCAGTACCTGGGAGAGGTGAGTACAGTCAGGAATCTGATGATGATCATATATTAAGTGCTCATAATATTGTCATATATTACAAACATTACATATGTTAGCTTCACTTCGATGTGACTGGAAAAAAACGGAATGATTTCAGGCCATTGAGTCATTTATATTAGTAAAAAAAAAATCACTTAAAATCAAATAAATTGTGTTTCACTTACGACCTGCCAGTGAATGACAGAGGAAAAGCAGAGCGAGAGATTTGCTGAACAGATCACTGTTTAGTGTAATAAATTGATTGAAATAAATATTTACTTTTGAGGGGCTCCCGAGTGGCACAACCCTCTAAGCGTTGGCCCCATTATCAACAGATCACGAGTTCGATCTCTGGTGATGCTACAGCAGTGGTCACTAATAGGCGGACCACAGTCCAGGTCCGGACCCAGATGCTGTCCTATGCGTACCTGGACCTATAACCAATAAACTATAAATAATTATTTAATTTCGATGGGGTGGTCCTATATTAAATCGGTGTAACGTTTCTAGTCATTACGGTACCCGTTTAGCGCCCCGGGAAACTCACAGACCAATCGCATGCGTTGTAAATATCACGTGACGCTACTCAGCCAATCAGATCTGTGCATTACGAAGTTATTTCACATGACGTGCTCTAAAAAGAGAAAACTGACAATAAATATTGTTGAAATATCACTGATTTGATATTCAGTTGTTGACTGTCTAAGATGTTGATATACCTACTAGGCTACTTCAGTAAACAGTATATGGCACTGAATCATAATGCAAGTTAGACATTATGATGTTCTGGATCTTTGCTTGAGGGAATTTTCTCTACTTGGACCTTATTGAATTGTAATTAAATACCCCTGTGCTACAGCCATCCTTGGCCGGGAGTCCAGGGGACTCTCTCTGGTAGGAGGTAACAGATCTGGCTGTTAGTGTTCTCCTCCAAGCACGTTCAGCTGTCCAATGACGTGGCGTTAGCAGCAGCTCGAAAAGATGTAGTGGAGCTTCACAGGCCTCAGGGGAAGCCTGTGCTAGTTTTCGCCCTCTTAGCGCTGATGGTATCAAGTGACTGGGGGAGTCCTAACTCGTGGGTGGAACTGGATATGACTACATTGGGGAGAAAACAAAAATCCAAAAATAATTTACTTTTGCTACAGCAGGACAAGTGCACAAAGCCACGCCTACACGGCGCTACAAACCAATTCATTCACTGTCAGCTCAAAGAATCACAAACCTGCCACTGAGTGTTATTAAAGTGATAATTTGGTGAAACGTCAAGTTTATGAAAATCTCTCCTTACCCCAGATATCAATCAGTCAAGATATGTTTGGTATCTGAAATGTGTCTGAAAACGAATGGACAAAAGTACAGACAAAGTTAGGCTTCGCGATGGTCGCTACTGTTTTAGCTGTGCTAATGTACTTCAGTCCATGTTTATAGGCAACAGTGAGTCATACAGTGTCAGAAACCACATAATCAAGTCTATTAGAGATACTGAACACCTCCACACAGTTTCAGGTGAGACTGTGATGATAACCTAAAGAAGCAAACACTCCCAACATCCATCCTGTCTGATCCACTAATTTTGGGCGAAGGGTAGAAAATGTGTACGTTTGAGCCGCTGTGTTTGATACCTGTCCGTGTTCTCTGTGCAGGTGGTCCATATCTTCTCCCACATCCACCAAACGTACGTGGTCTACAGCGCGAGTGTGCCTGTCCCTGCTGAGGCAGAGAGAGAGCAGAAAACCTGCTGGCTCACAGATTCAGCTCTGCAGGAGGCTGCCGTCTCCACTGGGGTCAAAAAGGTCAGCACTGCAAGACTTGATAGGTGCTGAAGTTGGACACTCCTGGTCAAATTATATGTTTTGTTGATTTTATAAGAGAAAATAAGACATAAAATAACATATTCTCTACCTAGAACATTTATTTGCTGAGTTGAACTTATTGGAGGAAAAAAAACATAATATGTGGTTTGTGCAAAAGTTATGGCACCTTTATTTTGTGTTTTGTTGTCCAGTATGTTGAATTCAGCAAATAAATCTTGCAGAAAAATGCTATATTTCAGATGAGTTAACTTATTTTGACTCAAAAAAACATTCGGCTTAATCGGGAAGGTTCAAACTTTTGCAAATGGCTAACATTAGAATAAATACAAATAAGCATTAATTCGGTAAAAAGGAGTCAGAATATATTATTTTTAGTAAAGTTGTGAATGTAGGGTAGAAGAATACAGTTAAGGCCTCAGCATACTTCTTGCGGAGACATCATTCGCCTGGCTTCAGCAGAAAATATGACGTAATTGTGGAGAAAATAAACAACCGCAGACGTGCGGAGTCTTCGTTCGCACGTGGCAACTGAGCGAACTCGGACAAAGACACTACGCAACAAAGCCTGTGATTGGTCGGTAACAAAAGAGGCGTGGCATGAAACAAAGAGACGACTTTGAAGAGCTTCGTTGCATGCTAAGCACTTTGGCAGAGACGCCGGTGTTTCACTGTGAAACACGCATTTATTAAATAAACAATGAAAAACCTCCTAAATGTAAGATGTTAGGCGTAGTAAGGACCACAACACATAGGTTATCTTATATTTAGGTTCACAAGAGGATGAGGATGAAGTTGGCTTTGTATTCACCAGCTTCTTGTTTGAATTTTCCCGTTTCACCTTAAATGGTTGCAGTATTCTGGACTTCTGCACGTTGCCATAGTTAGAACTATGATAGAAATGTTTTCCAGTAGTCATGAAACTTATCATAAAATGCCATAGCGTCACCTGCATTAGTGGAGCATCTGCGACCGGCAACACGGAACCGCAGAAGGTGTGCGACCCTGTAAGCTCGTGAAGACGCTTTCTGCTTCCCGCAACCCTCAAGGATTTCATTTTGCAAGAAGTTTGCTGAGGCCCTTAGAAGAACACAGCTTTGGTCCCTGACTTCTCACTTCTGTACTCCAGTCATTAGATGTTCGATTCCATCAGCAGCGCCTGATTTAATATAAGGAAGCACTGATTAGATGGTAAGATGGGTGATTAGGTATTGGATGGTAACTGTAAAGAGAGTGTTGGGATGGTTAAACAAAAAACTAAATCACTATTTGTTGTACTTTATTTAGATTTAATGTTGTTACGGGACGGCAGGGAGGCAGACCAAAGTGCAGAGAGGAAAACCTGTGAGAAAATTAAATTAATTTATTGAGGTGATGGAGTGTGAATTTGGTGATTGTGCACGTTGGAGTTGAGGCTCGAACCGACAACGTACGGGAAGGACAGGCGAAAACAGGAAAAACACCTCAACGAATGGGAAATAAAAAACGGCAGGAAAAAGGCAAACAAAGGGGACGCTGAAAGCAGCTCAAACAAAGGCTGAGATTGAAAAGTGAAATAACAGATAATCAGAAAACAAAAAACACTTCCTCTGTGATTCTGAGAGGAAGGTCAACTGTATATTTCACCTGTTTTCTCTTAGTGGAGTAAACACCTTCTTTCCAGCTCTCTTTTCTTTTCTTTTTCCTTTTCTTTTCGTTTAAATACCCTCCTGTGCTAAGTGCCATACTAGTCACTTCTCTACAAAGGTGTGACAAAGGGCTGCTGTTTGCCACAGCCTTAAGTAGAGGAGTCCACAGGTGTGCCAAGTTGGGCCTAAGCAGCCCAAGGGCTTCTGGGAATTGGAGTTCCCTGAACTTATGGCACCTCGTTGTCGTCGCCCTCTGCTGGTGACCGCCGGTGCAGGCTGGGCCCTTACAAATCTAATGTTAATTTTCAAGCAAATACACATGATTTTTTATGACTGGTTCCCATTTGTTTACAGTTAGACCCTATGTTTTTATTCCTTCATCTGTTTTTGCCAGGTTTTATGCACCAATGTTTTTTCTTTTTTTATTTTTAGACTCAATTTTATGTTATCTTTCTATGAACAATGTATATAAAATAAACAATACAAACATTTATATACAATTATTTGCTATTTAATGGGCCAAGCTGGCATTTTGTCAACTGGCTGTTTGCCGTACTGTGTGCTGGTAAATTGTAATGTCTGCTCTTATTCTTGTATTTTAATTATTCATTACAGATTATGAAGCTTTATTATGAGAACACAAACAAACTGAAGGACTCTAAGGTAAGACATTTCTTCTAAAAAAGCCATATGTGATATGCTGTGTATTTCCCTGAAACACTACTGTCCAGTGGTTATTACTGTATAATCATTGTTATGATAAGTTGATGACTCTAAGAGCTACTTTACTCTAAAAACTAATGTTGCAAATAATGAGTGGGGGACTTTATGCCCTCTGGTTCTCACCAGTGTTATTTCATTTTTAGCATATTTAGGTGATATATTCCTTTAACACCCACCTCATTGTTTATTTCCTGCCTCTCTGTTCCAGCATAAGAAGCGTAAGCAAAGCTCTGAACCTGGGAAAGAAAAGCAGGCCAAACAGTCGAGGAAACGACGGGAGAGTGCACCTAACGGAGGCCCAAAACAGCTCTGCCTCAGCCACTTCTTTACATCCTCAAAACCAGCAGGCAGATAAAGCTCTCAACATCAGATACTTACATCGATCAGGCATAACATTATGACCACCTCCTTGTTTCTACACTCATTGTCCATTTTATCAGCTCCACTTACTATATAGGTGCACTTTGTAGTTCTACAGTTACAGACTGTAGTCCATCTGTTTCTCTGCATACTTTGTTAGCCCCCTTTTACCCTGTTCTTCAGTGGTCAGGATCCCCATGGACCCTCACAGAGCAGGTACTATTTGGGTGGTGGATCATTCTCAGCATTGCAGTAACACTGACATGGTGAAGGTATGTTGTGCTGGTATGAGTGGATCAAACACAGCAGTGCTGCTGGAGTTTTTAAACACTGCGTCCACTCACTGTCCACGCTATTAGACACTCCTACCTTGTCGGTCCACTTTGTAGATGTAAAGTCAGAGACGATAGCTCATCTGCTGCTGCACAGTTTGTGTTGGTCATCCTCTAGTCCTTCATCAGTGGTCACAGGACGCTGCCCACAGGACGCTGTTGGCTGGATATTTTTGGTTGGTGGACTATTCTCAGTCCAGCAGCGACACTGAGGTGTTTAAAAACTCCAGCAGCACTGCTGTGTCTGATCCACTCAGACCAGCACAACACACACTAACACACCACCACCACGTCAGTGTTACTGTAGTGCTGAGAATGACCCACCACCCAAATAGGACCTGCTCTGTGAGGGTCCATGGGGGTCCTGACCACTGAAGAACAGGGTAAAAGGGGGCTAACAAAGTATCAGAGAAACAGATGGACTACAGTCTGTAACTGTAGAACTACAAAGTGCACCTATATAGTAAGTGGAGCTGATAAAATGGACAATGAGTGTAGAAACAAGGAGGTGGTCATAATGTTATGCCTGATCGGTGTATAACACAGTAACTGAATACTGTATGCAAGAGGCTATTTTACATTTAGAGAGCAATATTTAGTATGATTTTAGCATATAATCTTATAGATACAAATATCTGTCATTTTATTGTTAATCAAAAAGAAAAATGTTTTTTTAAAGTACAAATCTATCATGGATGGATATTCATATTAGTAATGAAATAAAGTTTTTGCCATTTTTGTATGTTTGTAGTAAAAAACATTACATGCACATCTCGTTTGAATATTGTTCAGTTTTCCTTCTCTTTGCCTGAGTAGGCTAACATCAGATACAGACCCTATACAGTACTGTGCAAAAGTCAGAGACCACCCTTTATGTATCTCATTTCCACAAGTTTTTTTTCAACATCACAGAAAAAAAGCACAGAAGTCTGAACAACTAAATATCTTATTGGATTTTTCAGTGTTCAGTGAGTTACTCTTCACCTTTATTCCAGCTTCCAGACACGCCTCCAAAGTTCAGTCTTAGAAGCTGGTTGATCATTTTCTGAAGTAATCAAACACATTCAGTGGTGTTGAGGTCTGGACTCTGGTGTGGTCAGTCCATTGTTCAGCTTCTTTGTTTGATGTGTCCGTCTCCTTTTCTCAGTGAGGTTCTTCTTGATCAGCTACACATCCTTTCAGACCCACAGCGCTGAGTCGTCTTCTCACAGTGGAAGGATGGACAGAAACACCTGTGGATGTTTTCAGATCTGAAGCAGCTTGATTTTCTCCTCTCTCTCAGAGATGAAAGCTTTAAGTGCTGTTTATCTGATGGGGGCAGTTTTGGTGTCTACCAGCTCTTCCAGGTGGTTGTTAGGAGCCAGACTTTCTCTATTGCTTTTAATGTTTTTGAACTGTATTTTCCTTTCTCCTTCCTTATGCAGGTCAATAGTCTTATATCTGATCTCCTCAGAAACATCTGTAAAGAGTCATAATTCTTAGTTAATGGCCATTGTGCCTGAAAGATTCTTTTGATGTTATGGAGAGATAGTAATGTATCAGTGTCATTTAAGGGTTAATCATATGGCATCTGAAAGGAACACTAGTGTCACTGCTGGACTGCGAATAGTCCACCAACCAAAAATATCCAGCCAACAGTGTCCTGTGGGCAGCGTCCTGTGACCACTGATGAAGGACTAGAGGATGACCAGCACAAACTGTGCAGCAGCAGATGAGCTATCGTCTCTGACTTTACATCTACAAGGTGGACTGACAAGGTAGGAGTGTCTAATAGAGTGGACAGTGAGTGGACACAGTGTTTAAAAACTCCAGCAGCACTGCTGTGTTTGATCCACCTGTACCAGCACAACACAAATAGGACCTGCTCTGTGAGGGTCCATGGGGGTCCTGACCACTAAAGAACAGGCAAACAAAGTATGCAGAGAAACAGATGGACTACAGTCTGTAACTGTAGAACTACAAAGTGCTCCTATATGGTCAGTGGAGCTCATGAAATGGACAATGAGTGTAGAAACGAGGGCGTATGTCTTGTTTGTGTACATTGGAAGCGCCTGACACACTTGTTGACTGCGGAGAATACAAGGGCTTTTTTTTGCGATTTCAAAATAAGAGTCTGGGTTACGTCACTTTAAACTGAATGTATAGCTGACATTTCTAGGCTTGAGCACCGTGCAGAAGTACATTAGTCTGTGGTCGAGTTTCCATAATATTAAGTAAGATTTGAAGCCAGTAATTTAAGCAGTGGTCTGTTTTTTTTTTAAGTGGGAGGTTTGTGTGCGCAGTGACAGAGAGAGTCATTCATTTAGAGCAGATAAGGTTCTAGCCTGTTGGTCTTAGTCCATTTAGTCCAAAGTCTTCGTACAGTGAGGCTGGAAAAGCGAGAGGAGGACAGAGCTGTGGAGTTTGCTCGGGTGAGTTTTTAGCTTATGCAACGTTGAAACTTTAATTCATTCATTAATACATTCATTCTGATTCATTTCGAACAGTTCGGACTGTTCGGTTCACCGCGCTGAACCGAGTTACGGTGATTTGTTGTGCATTACAGCGCACAAAACCAAGAAATCCAGTTTATTTCTATGAGCCTTATTATTCTGCCTATGGAGGCTGTTCGCGCGCACACATGGGTCATTTACATAACAGAGTCAACACGCTTAAAAGATGGTTCTTCAAGGGTTCTTCAGTAAAGGAAAAGGTTCTATATAGAACCACAAACACAAAGAACAATCTTCATGCATAAATCGTTCTTTGCATGGTGAAATGGTTCCTCAGGTCGATGGAGAATGTGTTATATATGGTTCTGTATAGCACCAAAAAGGGTTCTGCACTCCTAAAAAAGATGGTTCTTTAGTAAAGGCAATGGTTCTGTTGGTACAAGCTTGACATCATTAAGTATAGCAGAACCCTTTTAGTGCCGTATAGAACCTTTCATACAGCACTAAAAGGGTTCTGCTATAGTTAAAATGTCAAGCTTGAACCCTTTTTATAGAACCATATACAACACATTCTCCATCAATCTGAAGATCCATTTCACCATGTAAACCCTGGTTCTAGAAGGTTCTTTAGTAAAGGCAATGGTTCTATTGTTACAAGCTTGACATCTTAACTAGCGCAACCTTCTTTGTGTTATATGGAACCTTTTTCAAAAAGGTTCTCTATAGCACTAAAAGGGTTCTGCTATAGTTAAGATGTCAAGCTTGCAACAGTAGAAAAGCCCTTTTTAGAGAACCATATAGAACACACTCTCCATTAATCTGAAGAACACTTTCACCATGCAAAGAACCATTTAAGCATGAGAAATGGTCCCTTGAGTGTTCATGATTCTTTACAGAACCACTGTCTTTACTAAAGAACTATATATTTTAAGAGTGCCGAACGCTTTTTGGTGCCGTAGAGAACCATATACAACACATTCTCCGTCAGCGTGAAGAACCACTTCACCATGCAAAGAACAATTTAAGCATGAAGATGGTTCTTTGAGTGTTCGTGGTTCTATATACAACCATAGCCTTTGCTAAAGAACCCTTGAAGAACCATCTTTTTTAGGAGTGCAGAACCCTTTTTGGTGCTATACAGAACCTTATATAACACATTCTCCATCGATCTGAAGAACCATTTCACCATGCAAAGAACGATTTATGCATGAAGATGGTTCTTTGTGTTCATGGTTCTATATAGAACCTTTGCTTTTACTAAAGAACCCTTGACGAAGCTTTTCTAGTGCTATATTGAACCATATACAACACCTTTTCCATAAACCTGAAGAACCATTTTATTATGCAAAGAACCTTGTAAGCATACAGATGGTTCTTTGAGTGTTCATGGTTCTATACAGAACCACTGTCTTTACTAAAGAACGCTTGAAGGACTATCATTTTTAAGAGAACCCTTTTTGGTGCTGTACAGCACCATATACAACACGTTCTCCATCAGCATGAAGAACTATTTCACCATGCAATGAACCATTTAAGCATGAAGAAGGTTCTTTGAGTGCTCATGGTTCTACATACAACCTTTTCCTTTACTAAAGAACCCTGGAAGAATCATTTTTAAGAGTGAAGAACCTTTTTTGGTGCTGTAGAGCACCATATACAACACATTCTCCATCAGCTAAAGAACCATTTAAGCATGCAGATGGTTCATTGAGTGTTCATGGTTCTACATACAACCATTTCCTTTACTAAAGAACCCTTGAAGGACTATCGTTTTTAAGAGTGCAGAACCCTTTTTGGTGCTGTAGAGCACCATATACAATACATTGTCCATCAGCATGAAGAACTATTTCACCATGCGAAGAACCATGTAAGCATGCAAGTTGTCCATTGAGCGTTCATTGTTCTATACAGAACGACTGTATTTACTAAAGAACCCTTGAACAATCATTTTTTAAGAGTGCAGAACCTTATACAACACATTCTCCATCAGCATGAAGAACCACTTCACCATGCAAAGAACCTTTTAGCATGCAGATGGTTCTTTGAGTGTTAATGGTTCTATACAGAACCACTGTCTTTACTAAAGAACCCTTGAAGGACCATCATTTTTGAGAGTGCAGAACCCATTTTGGTACTGTAGAGAACCATATACAATACATTGTCCATCAGCATGAAGAACTATTTCACCATGCGAAGAACCATGTAAGCATGCAAGTTGTCCATTGAGTGTTCATTGTTCTATACAGAATGATTGTATTTACTAAAGAACCCTTGAAGAACCATCTTTTTTAGGTGTGAAGTGTTAAATGACCACCATAACCAGTGGCTCTGTTTTGGCTTCAGAATAGACGTTTGCTAAAGCAGCTTTAATACAGTAACAGGATCCACAGGAACCTGTATGAACTCCGTTCACCTGGTCTGTCTTACGTAAGCTCGTATGAATAGTCGGCTCTTGATCATTTGGTCTAAATTACAGGCTGTTTGTTCCATTTCAGTCTCCTCAATGGCTTCAGCTTGGCAGAGAATTGAGTCCATGCACCAGTGGATTCTGGACAATGGAGGTACGGACCGGTTATTCACGTCAAAATGAATAACGTTTTCTTTTCTTCTGCGCTCGACACTTCATCAGAGCTGTAAAACATCAGACCTGACTCAATGTCAGGTTGACACACACTACTGATGTTCTTTATAATCTACAGTGACCCCAAAAATATTTGGACTCTTTAACCAATTAACCATTTGTAAACATTTTACTTCTTAAAATGTTGAACAAAACGATAAAATTCACTTTTAGCAACTTTAGGCTGAGGTGTGGAAAGAGCCTGGAGAAGAACACAGAACCTAAGGGTTCTGTAAAGCACAGAGGTGAGCTCATCAGAGTGAGCAAAGCATACTTTGCCAAAAAAGGACTCTAAATAATAATAAATAATAAATGCCACATAGTTTTACATTTTACTTTCCAACACAATGATCTTAATACAGTTTTAAGTACAGTACAAATGTTCCAATACTGTTTGGGGCCAATGTATAGTATTATATGTGGGATAAGCAGTTGATTTAAAGAGGAACTCCACTGGTTTTTCTAAATTCATAATTCAGTGTTTGAGATGTAAACAGAGTGATTCAGAGTGGTTTGGTGTGAAATGGTTCAGATGTCTTTACAGTGGTGGTGATAGGAACCAGGGGTCGCCATGACTACAACACAAATATAACCATTTTATTTACTATCCAAAACCACCAGTGAACCTACACGAGTCTTCTGAGTTTATATGGAATGTTGATGATGGGAAAATAGTGGAAAAATCGGAAAAAATAAGTTTTGTTTTGGGACTATTTGGCCTGCATGTATCCCTCCACCATGAATGTGTTTGAAAAAATATGATTTAGGCCAAAATCTTCTCAGAAATATCATAAAAACAGTGTCTCAGACATCAGGCAGTGGATTCATATCCATCTTATGTAATAACTTTCTGAGGGAGCTTTTAGAGGTGGACGTCTGGTTCCTATCACCACCACTGTGAACTATTCTTGCTCTTACTTAAGAGTCAGAAGAGTAAGATTCTCTAGAACAGAGCATTTCACACCAAACCACTCTGAAAGACTCTGTTTACATCTTAACCATTTAGTCACGCAGTTTTTTGGAAGATCTGTAGATTTAAGGAGTGATATGACAAAAATATAACATCAAGTGTTCAGTTTTTTTGAGGTTTGAAAACTTGAAATGGTGGAATTAGGACTGGATATCAAAACATTTTTTACTGACCGAATTACTTTAATCCTACCAAGTATTGTAAAATACCGTCACCCAATAGCTATGTAGTCGGTCTTATCAGCATCCGTGAGCCAATAAGCATGCTTCTTTGAATATTTAGGCTGCTGATTGGCTGTCTAACTTACATTCTGTATGCATCTTAATAATGTAAGCGCTTCTTAGTTAGATACATTAAAGATTAGTCTGCAGTCCATTTCTGTTAGTAAGTTTAATCACTTCTAGCAACACACACTCATTTCTGCTTTAAGCCACGCCCACTTTCGGTCTGTCATTTAAAAGAAGGAATCAAAAACAGTTTCGTTCAGGAATGTGTTTTGTAATCAAGACACCTCTGAGTGAAACACACCAGCAAATCAGTAGTGCCACATATTTTAAAAAACAGCTGTAAAAAATAGATACTTTTATTTTTTAATTCAATTTGCCTAAATAAACTAAATAAACTAAAGCTAATATAATATAAAAATAATCATATAAAAGTCAAAGTCAGGAATTTTTCACACCACATCATACATCTTTACGATGATCTCAAAATCAACTTCATACTGATGAAGATGTGATGACAGTAGTAGATCATTCATTCACATCTTCAGAAGACGCTCCTTCACCAAGTTTAGACTGAGTTCTCTTTCAATCATTAGATTCGTCCGGTTGCGGAAGGAGGCCGAAGCACAACCCACGCTACAAAATGTTCTTCCTCACATTGCATTCAGTTACACATTGTCTGCAAACTTACATAGTGTAGCTTTAAGGAAAAAAGTCAAATGAAAAAATCATATAAATTAATAAAATATGGTAATGTGTAATACAGGGTGATTCAAAAAGATTCATCCAATTTCAAAGCGCCATATTTTTACAACCGTGAGGCGTCTAGGAACCAATCACATACCAATTGCAAGAGGGGGTCATAGAGTTTCTGACTGTCAGTGGAGGATGGCTCCCTTCGGTCTGAGAGGAGATGAGACCCCTGAGCAGAAAGCGTTCTGCGTTCTCCACTTCAATAAGAGTGAATCCGTCATAACTGTGCAGGGTGATTTTTGTGGGCAGTGAAGCTCCAGCAGCTCAGAGCGTTCGTCGTTGGTTCCACAACACTGGATGATCTCCGAAATCGCACTGAAAGAGCCGTGAGTGCAGCAACACCCGACATGCTCAATCCAGTATGGGATGAGTTTGACTATGGTGTTGATGTTGTCTGTACAGCTGGAGGAGGTTCATACTGAGACCTTGTACAATTACATAATAAACTTTATGCTCATTTAAACCATTTACAGTTTACTGCATTGTTCTGTAATGACTTACAGTGAAATTAATCATTTTGAAATCGGATTAATCTTTTTGAATCACACTGCACATTCAGTTGTTCATTATTCCTGAAGTTTTCTGTGATGATCCCGAAGATAAACTCAGAAAACTGTGTTGTAACATTATTTATCACAATAATGATAGCATATCATCATATCGCTCACCTCTTAAGTTGAATCAGTGCTGATTACCTGTTATACCTATTTAAGTTCTCTGCTCTCTGATTCGCTCTCCTTTCTCTGCTGTGCTCTCAGATAAGCGGACTGACCCCTGGCTCCTCGTGTACTCCCCTGTGCCTGTACTTTGTATTTTCCTCTGCTATCTTGGTGTCATTTGGATCGGCCCTAAACTCATGAAGAACAGGGAGCCGGTGGACCTCAGAGTCGTCCTGATAGTTTATAACTTCGCCATGGTTTGCTTATCTGTCTACATGTTCCATGAGGTGAAGAGTTCTGTGTTCTCTTTATTATTTGTTTATTCTGATCTGTATGAGTGCTATGAGGCTAATCTGTCTATTTCAGCCTCCTCTTCTACTCTCGTTATTACACTAAATGTCCAAAAGTTTGCAGACATCAGCTCCTCCAGCGCTTCTTCTGTAATGAAGGGTGTTAATAGTGAGTTTGTCCTCCTTTTCTGCAGTAACAGCCTCTACTCTTCTGGGAAGGCTTTACACTAGATGTTGGAACATTTCTGTGAGGATTTGATTAAGCATTAGTGAGGTCAGGTACTGATGTTGGATGGTCAGTTCTGGATCACTCCAACTCATCCCAAAGGTATTGGATGGAGCTCCATCACTCCAGAGAACACAGTTCCACTGCTCCACAGCCCACCGCTGAGGGGCTTTATGCCCCTCTAGCCCATGCTTATCATTGGGCTTGGTGACCGTAGGCTCATGTGTTGCTGCTCCAGAGCAACCCATTCCATTTTTCAGTGCTTTTCTATGGAGATGATACAATCTGTGTGCGCAGTTGAACAATGGGTGCACGCTTAAGTAGCTGAATTCAGTCATTCTAAACTGTCTGGATACATTTGGACAGATAATGTGTTGTTTACCTTTTTAGAATGTATATCTTTCATAAAGATTCTGAGAGTGACAGTAAGAGGAAGTGAAAATGATTAAAATAGTACTACACTATCTGAAATGCTTGAAATGTAATCGCTAACCTGTGATTTAGCTATTTATCATAATAAATTGCTTCTTAGACTTTTTCTTTATCATAAGAACTTGTTTATTTTTTGTTGTTCAGTTTTTAGTGACGTCCTGGCTGTCAAACTACAGCTACCTCTGTCAGCCTGTTGACTACAGCACCAGCCCGCTGGCTATGAGGGTAATCACCGCTTTCAAATACTGTACCGTCAAAAATACACAGTGCAGAGACCACCCTTTCGAGTATGTTTGTTTCCAGTCAAAATGGCCATTAAGTAAAGGTTTTTTTTCCCAGCATCAGAAAAAAACAAAACAATGTAGATAGATCACTTTATTAATCCCAGAGGGGAAAGTCGTCTATTACAGCAGCACAAAGTACAGTAAAGAGCAAATTGACCACATGTGTTGATGTACACTATTATAAGGATGCATAAGTAGAAAAAAGTATATATAAAAAAAAGATATATGTAAAAAAATATACGAATACAACCAAAAAAAATAATCTGCAGTACAAAAATAAAGTAAAATCGCATGAATATTATGCAGGTGACAACGCAGTGGTGCATGTCACGTCCAGTGAATGAACCGAGTTACTAAACACTGTAAACAATAATGTGTTAATAGTTGACCAATATGCCTGGTTGTATAAACACAACTGGTGTATTTAACATTTTCAAAGAAATCCTCAACTCCAAAGTTCAGTCTGACAGTTTGGTTGCATTTTCTGCAGCAGTCCCACTTACAGTGTTTGTGTGAATGTTAGTGTCAGTGATCCGTTTGGGAGCAGCTGTTGTTGGGAGGACACAGTGGTTTCAAGATTGAAAGGATGGAAGAGTTAAACGTGGCAGAAGGTGCAGAAAAGTAAATAGTGGACAATTTAAATACTGATTGATCTGATAATATACATAGTGTTGGAGACTTTAGTGTCATTTTAGTGTCATTAAATATGATTCCTGCTTTTTTTTCTGACACTGAAAAATAAAAAACTTGTACTTGTTGGCGGTTTGGCTGGAAATTCATTTTTAATTACGGAACTGAATCACGTGGAAAGGTGTGGTGTTACTGCTGCTTCCTCCTCCAGAATCAGTTTGGGCTAAACTAACATCTCACAACAGGAGTGTAGAGTTAAACTGGTCAGTTCTGCAGATGTGTTCTTGTCAGGTGTGTCTGTTTTCACTCTCAGATGGCCAGTGTGTGCTGGTGGTTCTTCTTCTCCAAGGTCATCGAGCTCAGTGACACAGTAAGTAATTAAACCACATGAGAACATAAACGAGGGTGAAATATGGCAAAAATCCAACACTTTTCACATCATTCATCATCTAAACCACTTATCCTCCTGGGTACGGGAGCCTATCCCAACACGCATTGGGCAGAAGGCAGGACAGCCCTGGACAGACACACACATTCACAACTGGGGGCAGTTTAGCATCTCTAATCTACTGTGGGAAGAAACCCACACAGACACGGGGAGAACATGCAGACTCCACACAGAAAGGGGAATCGAACCCAGACCCTTCTTGCTGTGAGGCAACAGCGCCACCCACTGCACCACCTTTTCATAGAACGTTTAATGTAAACATAAATAATTTTAAAAGGACCAGGAGGAAAAATCAGACAGCTGGTAAAAATAAAGTAGTAAAGTAAGATGATGGTGTAATGAGCTGACATCCAATCAGCTTCTCACTATTATGCAGTTACTGTTGTTTACAGACGATTAATTCTAGAATGTTCCACCGTTCACTTTCTTTTCCTGATCGACAGTGTTCTTTCCACCCACATTGATCTAGAATCTTCTCCCCTCGTTCAAGCTGTTCCATAATGTTCTCCCCCCATTCACAATGTTCTAGAATGTTCCCATACATCGACACTGTGGAATGTTGTCCCTATTCACACTGTCCAATTATGTTCTCCCAATTTACAATGTTCTAGAATGTTCACCCCCTTTCACACTGGTCTAGAATGTTTCTGCATTGCCACAGTTCTTGAATGTTCTCCCCAGTCATACTTTTCTAGAATGTTCTCCCTCATTCACACTGCTCTAAAATGTTCTTCCTCATTCACACTACTCTAGAATATTCTCCTCTATTGATGTTGTTCTAGAATGTTCTCCCTATTCACACTGTCCAATTATTGTATTCTCTCAATTCACAATGTTCTAGAATGTTCTCCCCCTTTCACACTGGCCTAGAATGTTTCTGCATTGCCACAGTTCTCGAATGCTTTCCTTATTCATACTTTTCTAGAATGTTCTCCCCCTATTCACACCATTTTAGAATGTTCTCGTCCATTCACACTGCTCTAGAATGTAGAATGTTCTCCCTCATTCACACTGCTCTAGAATGTAGAATGTTCTCCCTCATTCACACTGCTCTAGAATGTAGAATGTTCTCCCTCATTCACACTGCTCTAGAATGTAGAATGTTCTCCCTCATTCACACTGCTCTAGAATGTAGATTGTTCTCCCTCATTCACACTGTTCTAGAATGTTCTGCCCCATTTGAACTGTTCTAGAATGTTTCACCCCATTCAGTGTTCTGGAATGTTCTCCCTCATTCACACTGTTCTTGAATGCTCTCATCTATCCACATTGTTCTAGAATGTTCAGCTCTGTTGCCACTGTTCTAGATTGCTCCACTCCTCAGTAGCTCTGATTCATTTGTCTTGCTTTGCTGTTTTCAGTAGCTGCTCTTTCACTGATTCTCTAGAAATGTATTATATTGTGACTGCATTGTAAAGTGTTTATAAACTATACTGTAATAAACGCCGTTTTTCCTTTTTTCTTTGTTTTGCTCTTCAGGTCTTTTTCATTTTACGGAAAAAGAACAGCCAGCTGACCTTCCTGCACGTGTACCACCACGGCACTATGATCTTCAACTGGTGGGCCGGAGTCAAATACGTAGCGGGGGGCCAGTGTATGAGTTCTCACGTTCTTGCTTGTGTTGAATTTATCAGGCGAAACAGTCTGTTCTTGTGTATGAATGACCTGTGACCAGTATGTGACCACCTTCCGTTTTGCAGCGTTCTTCATCGGCCTGCTGAACACGTTCGTTCACATTGTGATGTATTCGTATTATGGGCTGGCGGCTCTGGGGCCTCATATGCAGAAGTACCTGTGGTGGAAGCGCTACCTCACCTCCCTGCAGCTGGTAAACACTCACAGATTAACGCTCTCATTCCTCCGTGAGCTTCATCAGCTTTGGGAACAGAGATTTGCTTATGATCGCTGTCCATAGAAAAGAGGGCAAAAATGTTCTTACGTTAATTTATGTTAATGTAAAAAGATTTTTTTCCAAGCCATTTTAGAGCATTTCTGTTGATCCATTCATTGTGAAATTTTCACATAACATTAAGGGCAGCTGTCGCGTTCAAATGATGCAGAAAAAAAAATAGATACTTATTTTACATTTTTGTTTTTTTGGACAGCATTGTTATGCAGAACATGACTTAGAGTTGATCAAGAGGTGCAAGTCAGCATTATTAATGACAACAAAACATGCTGCAATTCTGAACGTGATTCTCACTCCACACCACTTCTGTGTTTGTAGAATGAGTAGATATTTTATAACGATGTGAATTTGAATCAAAATATACTGTTGTGTGTCGTCTTGTTTGGCAGATGTTTCACATTTTTGACATTTAGTCATTTTTTGACTTTAACCCTTGTGTGGTGTTGATGTGTTTGTTACTCAGTGGTCTGCTGGACCCACATTATTGTTTTTTTAAATCAATACAGTCATAACAATTTATGTAAAAATACCAGATGTTTAAAATATCACAAGTGTCCAGTGTAGGATTCTCCTTTAGCAGCTGTAGCCAGTCAGCAGCCTGTCCATGCTGTCCACCCTCACACACACACACACACACACACACACATATACAAACACATACACACACAGACACACACACACTAACAGCAGGCCATGCAGGAGGAGAACAGAGTGAAGGACACAGCACCTCCACACTTTTACTCCCCGCAGGTTCACCCAACACCACATGTGTAATATAAATGTGTGGGGGGTGAACAGAGTGAAGACACTGAAAATGGGTTATTTTATATGTTCTTTACAGAAAATGAAAAGGACAAGAATCTGAGGTTGAAATAATAATAAATCGCATCATTTTTTCTTTTGGTAAACATTAAAAATGGGTCCCACAGACCTGAACACCACACAAAGGGTTAATGCAAACAGAATAAGTTAGAACTGCAGGCTTGAACCTGCAGAATGTAAAATAATTTATTAATATTTTTATGCATTTGACTATTGACTATTATTATGCAATTGACTCTGCAGGTAACCGTGTAAGTGTATCTAAATATTTATGTAAGAATAGCAGAATGATAGCAAAAAAGCTCTAAGGGTTAAACAGCGGATTGTGGGATTATATCTACAGTAGATTTACAGATTAAGTTGATGTGTCTTCTTCTTGTTAGACTCACAAGTTAAATCCTTACCATGAAACATAAAGTGGGAAAGGGCTCATTTCATCACAGCGTAATGGATGCACACCTTCTCTTCAGCTTCTCATTCTAAAGGTGCCTCGTCCTTCTTCTTTCAGCTTCAGTTCGTCCTCCTGACCACACACACCGGCTACAACCTGTTCACAGAGTGCGATTTCCCCGACTCCATGAACGCGGTGGTGTTTGCCTACTGCGTCAGCCTCATCCTGCTCTTCAGCAACTTCTACTACCAGAGCTACATCCGCAGGAAGAGCAAGCGCTCCTAACAGAGCGGGACCCGTCCCAAACTGACCAATGCACACTCGAGCAAACGTCCTTTCACAGCAACGATGGCCAAAGAATTGCATCAGAGGTGCCACAGTTAAAGTGATAGTTCAGTGAAAAATCATAGGCCCCCCCACCACCCCCCACTGCCCCCCCCCCACACACACACACACACATCCCCCCATCAACACCACAGACAGACTCAAAAAGAAGGTCCGGCTTGATGTTCAGGTCTCAAATGTAAAATCAGCATCGTACTGATGAAGAAGTGATGACAGTAGTAGATAATTCACATCCTCAGACGCTCCTTCACCCAGTTTAGACTGAGCTCTCTTTGAATTCTCTTTCAGTCGTCAGATTCATCCGCTCGGGGAAGGGGGCCGAAGCACAACCCATGTTACAAAGTGTTCTTCCACACATTGAGTGCAATTACGCCTTTCCACCAGAGAGGTCTCCAAATCCCCAAAACGTACATAGTGCAGCTTTAAGTTTAAGAGCATCATTTTTTACAGTGTACATGCAACAAACTTACTGACTGAAGTTCTCCCTGAACACTCACATTAACCGTCTTATGATTCACATGAGAGTCAGGTTTGTTCCCTTTACTGAATGTAAATCTGCCTTCATGGCAAACACTTATCCATTTACCTGGACCACCAGCCTGACCATTACTGACCATTACTGAAATTAAATCTTGCAGACACACATGGGTTAATAAATAGATACCAAGCATGAGCTCATATCAGCTAAACGGAGCTCATTCAGTTTTGCATTCCTGCCCCATGAAGTCTGTACTGAGTTTGCATATGGGTCATTCTACAGAAACGTCCACTTTTCTATCTGTCCATAGGAGTCACTGGTGTTACCGATTCTCATTGGTGTTACACATAAGAAAGGAACACCAGAGACATTTTTAATGAACAATGCATTTTACAAAATGGCTGCTACAGAGCATCAAACCACATGTTGTCAATCATGGAATATCCACTAAAATATGGAATTTAATTCATTTGTGTTCTGTTTTTTCACAAATACCTCAGAATAAAGTCGGTCACACCAGTGACTTCAGCTAAAAGCTTCATATGAAATCATGAGCTAAATGAGAAAATCTCTGATAACTGAAAGACACAGTGGATTCACCATGTGCTTTTCTTCATAGATCCTCAGAAAACAGGTAAAAGGAGGTCGAGTGATGTCATCAGTGTGACTTTTATTTTAAAATAAGAGATTCTTTGTTATGCAGTAACACAACTTTCATTATATATTTTATAATATTTGTTTTCTTTGTCATTTAAATCATATATTCCATAGTCATGTATAGATTATTGTAGTTAAAATTGCAGAAAAACGTGTTTTCTTTCTTCAAAATATGGCCTCAGCCTTTATACATGACTGTGAGGACGAGCTCTTCTGTGGTGCTTGGCGTTCTAGATAATTGATTTAAAAACCAATGTTGCTAAATTGAGGCTCAAGAAGATGTAATTGTTCAAATAACATTGTTTTATTTTAAAATATAAATAAATTGTAACCCTAATATGTTTTTTAAGTGTAATATATCTGTAAACACTAGGGACACAGAAATGGACGTTTCTGTAAAATGACTCATGTGTTTCAGGCATCACTCAGAGCTACAGCAAACCAAAGACTTCATCTTGTAAGCTGCACAGTTTTGATGCTCATTTGACACTTCAGACCTCAGAGTGCAATTTGTAAACTTTTTAGAATATTTTTAATGCTTGAATAAATAAACAGTCACTAGAGGGCGCTGTGCAGGTTTGTTTTCAGCACCCCCTGTTTTTAAGTGTTCTCATGTCAGGCTAAAAATACCTGCTTTGCAGCTGAATGAATGAAAGGAAGAGATTAAGCGATATTTGAAACTGAACCTTAGAAAACTTAATAAGCCTTCTGTAAATAATCTAAGTTTTGGGAGAAGTTTGAGAGCGAATCAGATTTCTGTTATTACTGCTTTGTAACCTCAGAAGTCAAACCTTCATCTGTAGATCTGCAAATCTGTCTTTTTTCCATTACACACCTATAAAACTGCTACCTCAGCCATTTTAACAGGTTTATTAATAGATAAGAGATTTAATACGGGTGGTGTTTGTTTCTTGTCCAGCCTGCCGAACGTACTGTGGTGATAAGTGAGGGTTTTCATTGTATTGTGAATGTGTGAATGCATATGTGATGCGAGTTGAATTGAAGAGAAATAAACTACAATCCACTTCAGTTCTTCACTGAAACTACAGAACTTCTGCATTAGTTTTTATAATAGATGCTAAATAATTTATAATAGACTTTTAATTATGTATAGTCACCTAACTGAATATTTCACAGAAATTACTGAATAATTCATAATATATTCTGAATAATCCAAACGTCTAATAACTGAATAAAATGCCTATAACATTTAAGGGTGAACGAGCTGAATCAGGTGTGTTTGAGTAACTTACAGATTCGTTTTAGTGGGTAGGTGCTGGACATTCAGTGTGTAGGATGCTAATTGGTGGCTATAATCTTCCATTACTTGTTAGCTACATTAGCTTCGTAGTCCCGACCAAACTTGTCTTGGCTGATGGACTCCATTTGGGTTAAGGAGGATTAGGTTGGGGTGAAATGAGTTAACTAGAGCTCAGTATAGACTGCTGTGTTAGTTCTCTCGTTTAGGGGTCAGTTTTAGGTTTTATCCTGTTTGCAGTAAATATGGTTCCTTCAAAGCAGGTTTTCTTGGTAATTCTGCCATTTTACTCCATTTCATGATCATCCTGGCAAAGTTCACATTCAGTACAGCTGTAAACTTCCACTCCACTAGAGGGCACTGTTGACCCACCACTGATTTCACTTGTGCAGTGAATTTGAAGGTTTTAAACCTGTTGCTGCTGCATGTATGACAGGCAGTTTATTTACACACATTCATGAGCTCCACACTTTCTAAAGCTGCGTTATCAAAGCTGATAGCACTTCATTTTAAAGCTGCCTACATAGAGACTTCATAACGCATGCATAAGCACTGAATAACATTTAAAAACTGAGTATTCATGACCATCTCATACCTTTAATCACAAGATGACAAGAAGGTTCATGAAGTAAATGACACTGTATTGATATTAAGAGTCTTAAATTAAACTAACAGACATTTATTCCATTTATAATACTTAAAAGGATGGTTCTTCAAGGGTTCTTTAGTAAATGCAGTGGTTCTATCTAGAACCATGGTGCTATACAGAACCACATATAACACATTCTCCATCAATCTGAAGAACCGTTTCACCTTGCAAAGAACCATTCAAGCATGAAATGGTTCTATATAAACAGAGCCACTGCCTTTACTAAAGAACTCTTGAAGAACCATCTTTTTCAAGTGTAATACTGTTGTAAAGCATTAGTCCCACATAATGGAACTTGGAAGGCAGCAGCCGAGTTAAGAACACCATATACTAGTTCTGTGAAACATTTTGATGCCCCTATATAATCACATACACTCTGATCAGGCATAACATTATGACCACCTCCTTGTTTCTACGCTCATTGTCCATTTTATCAGCTCCACTTACTATATAGGTGCACTTTGTAGTTCTACAGTTACAGACTGTAGTCCGTCTGTTTCTCTGATACTTTGTTAGCCCCCTTTTACCCTGTTCTTCAGTGGTCAGGACCCCCATGGACCCTCACAGAGCAGGTACTATTTGGGTGGTGGATCATTCTCAGCACTGCAGTAACACTGACGTGGTGGTGGTGTGTTAGTGTGTGTTGCGCTGGTCTGAGTGGATCAGACACAGCAGTGCTGCTGGAGTTTTTAAACACCTCAGTGTCGCTGCTGGACTGAGAATCGTCCACCAACCAAAAATATCCAGACAACAGCGTCCTGTGGGCAGTGTCCTGTGAGCACTGATGAAGGACTAAAGGATGACCAACACAAACTGTGCAGCAGCAGATGAGCTATCGTCTCTGACTTTACATCTACAAGGTGGACTGACAAGGTAGGAGTGTCTAATAGAGTGGACAGTGAGTGGACACAGTGTTTAAAAACTCCAGCAGCACTGCTGTGTCTGATCCACTCGTACCAGCACAACACACACTAACACACCACCACCACATCAGTGTTACTGCAGTGCTAAGAATGATCCACCACCCATGGGGGTCCTGACCACTGAAGAACAGGGTAAAAGGGGGCTAACAAAGTATCAGAGAAACAGATGGACTACAGTCTGTAACTGTAGAACTACAAAGTGCACCTATATAGTAAGTGGAGCTGATAAAATGGACAATGAGCGTAGAAACACGGAGGTGGTCATAATGTTATGCCTGATCAGTGTAGGATAGTTCTATGAAAAACTTCTATCCACTTAAATAGTTGGACACAAATCCTGTAGTAAGAGTAGAAATACCCTCAGTAAAATATTACTCCAGTAAAAATTCTCTATCCATGAAGAATAAATATTGTTCTGGTAATTTGATGAACAATTGATTTTAATCAGACTTTGTTAGCTGTGCAGCCTCAATAGCACTTCAGCCCAAGTACATTCTTAAAAAAGATGGTTCCTCAAGGGTTCTTTAGTGAAGAAAATGATTCTATATAGAACCATGAACACTCAAAGAACCCTTTGCATCATTAAAGGGTTCTTTGCATCATTACATGGTTCTTCATCAGATTGATGGAGAATGTGCTGTAGATGGTTCTATATAGCACCAAAAAGCTTCAAAATGACATTGTCACAATAGAAGAACCCTTTCTGGCACTACATAGAACCCTTTTCATAAATGTTTTATACAGAACCATATACAGCACATTCCTCATCAGTCTGAAGAACATTTTCACAATGCAAAGAAACCCTTTAACCATGCAAAGAGTTCTTTGTGTTCATGGTTCTATATAGAACCATTTTCTTTACTGAAGAACCCTTGAAGAACCATAATTTTTAAGAGTGTAGAAATCTATAGAACTGATAGTGTTACAAATGAAATAAAATGTCTCTTTATTTTGTCAGAACAGCAGCATTTACTCCATAAAACAGCTTCTCATCATAAGGATAATGACGTAAACTGTTCATAACTGCTTTTTGAATACAGTATAGAATATGTATGCATGTGTTATGAAGTCCGTATGTAGGCGTCACCTCAAACCTTAACGCTGAATGACACTTCATCAAAAGGACAATGTGTGACTGCAATGTTGAAGAGAACTTTATTTTCTGAGACATGAGAGAGTGACACATAATAATTAATATTTAAACAAACTGTACATTTTATACATCTGGTAGGAGTTTGGTGGATATTAATAATATTAATTAAACCCATCGACCTTTTATAAAATAATCGAACCAGATCATCTGGGAGAGAACAGAGTCAAAATGCAGTACAAACATTGCAAACATTCACTGACAAAACACAGCAACACTAAATATGTTTTCTACACTTCAGCCAAGAGGAGAAAGAGAGAGAGTTGATCTGGGAGAACAGACGAACGAGGGCTTTAATACTGCTGAGTTTGGATTCTGATATGTTTCAGACCCACTGCAGTGGATTTCATCCAGAATATTTCTGAAATTTATGGCTTACTGCTCACCACTCATCAGTTAAAGGACCCATATCATGGAAAAATAATATCATGGAAAAAAAATACAGCCCATTTTGATGTCACAAAAACATTCGCATAGATCTGCGTATTCAGCCTACAGTGCTTTAGCCCCGCCTATTCACGCACTTGTTCTTGGGCTAGCCAATCAGAACATAGATTATTTGCATATTGCTGTTGTTGGAAGAAAACCTAGTATCTCCAAAATGGTAACTTTACAGGAGAAGGAAAAAACCTACTTTACTTTTAATGTAAGTCAATGGAACCAGACTTCTTTCTGAGTCATTTTGGGCCGTTTCTTTTGGTCCATTCATCATGAAATTTATATACAATGTAAAGAATAACAGGCATTTTCAAAATATGTCAAAAACTGAAAACGGTAAAAATGGAGATATGAGGTTTTCTTCCGACAGCAGCGATATATCTGTCTTAAAGGCACAGAAACAAAAACAGCCCTTAATTCTAAGGGATAAAGAGAGGTTGAGAAAAAAAGGTCACATAAAAATGAATTACGGCTGTTTTTGGTACATAAAACCACACCAACATTATAAATGGACATCGTGAAGAAATATAACACCAGAAAAAAAATGTAGGATATGGGCCCTTTAAAGTATAACCGAGTTGGGATGGGACGGTATGAACAATTCCTATCATATTATTAGTGACTAAAATTCTCACAGTTTTTATTGTCACCACAGGATCGTAAAACATCCCAAAACAATTTAAAAATGTGAATAAAAAAACTGATCATTTGTCACCAATATTGAGACTTTTTACTGAAACTCATATTTCATTATAACACCAACGTATCAACTACAACTTAAATAAATATAAAGGTTACTGCAGCACTACTGCTAACTGTTCAGATTATGACTAGGTTGTCCTGGAATGTGCTTTGCAGGAAGACTGTAGCAGCTGTTTACTTCCACCATCATGTTTAAAAAAACCTTACTGAACATGGTTTTCAGTATTAATAAAAATGATATGATTATCAATGGGTTTTATGTCACTGTACATCAACAAAACCAGCAACCGTCCCATCCCTACGACAGAGATCCATCAGTGTTAACCCTGTGTTTGAAGATTCACAAAAAGAACCAGCTGTTTAGCAGGTAAACTAAACAAGACTTGAGTGGAACATCTTACTGCCAGTATAGAGACATTATGCTACTGTACGCTGGTAAAATAGTGACATTCTGAAAACAAACATAAAAAAGAAGAGAAACGCAACCATCAATTCATACAGAGGAGCAATAAGATCACAGGAAAAAGACTGCTGGCTCAGAGAGAAGAGAACAAAAAGAGAGGAGTAGGGAGGAGATGAGAAGAGCAGAGAGAGAAAAAGAGAGAAGAGACAAGAGGAGAAAAGAGATGAGAGGGGAGAGAAGATGAGAAAAGCAGAGAAAGGGTTGAGAGAGGAGAGAACAGGAATGAAGAGAAGAGAAAAGAGGAGATGAGAGAGGAGAAGAAGAGAGGAAAGAGGAGAAGAGGAGAGAAGGGAGAGAAGAAAAGGAGGGAGACAGAAGAGGAGAGAGGAGAAAGAGAAGTGGAGGGAGAGACATAGAAGAGAAGAGAAGAGAAGAGAAGAGAAAGAGACATTTGAGAAGAGGAGAGGAGAGAAGGGAGAGAGAAGTGGAGGAAGAGACAGAGAAGAGGAGAGGAGAGAAGAGGAGAGAAGGGAGAGAGAAGTGGGGGGAGAGACAGAGAGAAAAGGAGAGGAGAGAAGAGAGGAGAGAAGGGAGAGAGAAGTGGAGGGAGAGACAGTGAAGAGAAGAGAAGAGAAGAGAAGAGAAGAGAAGAGAAGTGGAGGGAGAGACAGAGAAGAGGAGAGGAGAGAAGGGAGAGAGAAGTGGAGGGAGAGACAGAGTGAAGAGAAGAGAAGAGAAGGGAGAGAGAAGTGGAGGGAGAGACAGAGTGAAGAGAAGAGAAGAGAAGGGAGAGAGAAGTGGAGGGAGAGACAGAGAAGAGGAGAGGAGAGAAGGGAGAGAGAAGTGGAGGGAGAGACAGAGTGAAGAGAAGAGAAGGGAGAGACAGAGTGAAGAGAAGAGAAGGGAGAGAGAAGTGGAGGGAGAGAGGAGTGGAGGGAGAGACAGAGAGAGGAGGAGAGGAGAGAAGACAAATGGAGGGAGAGATAGAGTGAAGAAAAGAGAAGGGAGAGAGAAGTGGCGGGAGAGACAGAGAGGAGGAGAGGAGAGGAGAGAAGAGGAGAGAAGGGAGAGAGAAGTGGAGGGAGAGACAGAGAGAGGAGGAGAGAAGAGGAGAGAAGGGAGAGAGAAGTGGAGGGAGAGACAGAGAGAAGAGGAGAGAAGAGGAGAGAAGGGAGAGAAGGGAGAGAGAAGTGGAGGGAGAGACAGAGAGAAGAGGAGAGAAGAGGAGAGAAGGGAGAGAAGGGAGAGAAGGGAGAGAAGGGAGAGAGAAGTGGAGGGAGAGACAGAGAGGAGGAGAGGAGAGGAGAGAAGAGGAGAGAAGGGAGAGAGAAGTGGAGGGAGAGACAGAGAGAGGAGGAGAGAAGAGGAGAGAAGGGAGAGAGAAGTGGAGGGAGAGACAGAGAGAAGAGGAGAGAAGGGAGAGAGAAGTGGAGGGAGAGACAGAAGAGGAATGCTGCTTGTTCAGGTTGAGGCTGATGGAGTGATGCTCTACGTTTCTGTATAAACTGAGTTCATTTGGCTCAGGCTGCGCTCGAAGCTGCCCAGCTGGAAGAAGACGCTGTCCTCTGGGCTCGGAGTGAACTGGGACACTGACCCACTGAGGTCCGGCACCAAACTGAAACCTGCACACATAACGGAGTAAAGACAGGCACGATGAACAGAGTAACTGCACTTCAATCACATGTACTAACACTGGAATCAGTGTTTAATGGAGACATACTTCTTTTATTTTTCTGTGTTTTGAGTTCTCTTGTATTGTGTGTTGGTTTTAATGTGCATTTATACACAATGTGCTTTTCTCAGATGCACTGCAACAAACCCCTCTCAGTTTTACTGGCATCATGGCAGCTTCTCCACTAAACAATTTCTCTGTAGATTAACCGAGACTAATGGTTATAATATGGACAGTTGCATTCAAATTGAGCAGTTACAGATGAATCTTAAACTCGATGTGTCATAAGCAGTGCTATATCTCGCTGTTGTCGGAACAAAACCTTGTATCTCCAAAATGGTAACTTTACAGGAGAAGGAAAAAACCTACTTCACTTTTAATGTAAGTCAATGGAACCAGAAGTTTTTTCAAGTCATTTTGAGCCGTTTCTTTTTAGCTACGTTCACATTACAAGCCTCATTGCTCAAATCCAATTTTTTTGCTCATATCTGATCTCTCTGACGATGGTTCATACTCGTTTAGGTAAGTGATTCAAATCTGTCATTAATGTGATGAACCGGCGTCCTGAAATGACCCTCATGACCACATCCTACACAGTAACGTCACGTGAGTGAATCACGTTCATCATCAGCTCAAACTAACGAGCAGAACGAGCTTCGCTGAGAAGATCATTAACTCTGATCAGCTCTCAGCTTCATTATTAGAGCGAGACGAAGGAGAAAAAGGTGAGATGAGCTGCTTTTCCACCGTTTGCAGGCTTTAACTTCTGTTTGGCACTGCTGCCATGGTAACGCTGAATGATGGTGCACAAGCAGTTAAAAAAAGCACATGAACTCCGGTCTGAACGTCACATTAAGGTCACATGGTCAAGAATCGGATACGTATCCGATCTAGAACCACATATGAAAGGTCGGATTTGAAAAGATCAGATTTGTGTCCACACAGCTCTGAAAACATCAGATCTGAGTCACATTAGGGCAAAAAATGGGATTTGTGCCACTTCAACCTGGTAATGTGAACGTAGTTTTAGTCCATTCACTACGAAATTTACACACAATGTAAAGAGCGGCAGGCGTTTTCAAATTATGTCAAAAACTGATAAACGGCAAAAATGGAGATACAGTGATTTTATATATATATATATATATATATATATATATATATATATATATATATATATATATATTAGTCAGATTCAGTCTATTGCTCATATGTTACTCCTAAAGTTTAACACCTATATGAGATTCCACACAATGTCTTACTCTCATAACGACACACAGTTCTGTCAGAGACCACCCTTCCAGTTATTTAATTTTTAGTCAAAACTGCCATTAAGAGTTTCATTTTTCAGTATCAGGAAAAAAACATAGAACAATTAAATATAATATCAAGTATTTCAGTATTTACTGTGTCCACTCTTTCCCTTTATTTCAGCTACCATTCTTTTCAGGAGACTCACTTTCAGTTCCTCAAAGAATCTGCAGACACACCTCCAAAGTTCAGTCTTAGAAGCTGGTTGATCATTTTCTGAAGTAATCAAACACATTCAGTGGTGTTGAGGTCTGGACTCTGGGGTGGTCAGTGAGGTCTCAGTGAGGTTCTTCTTGACAGCTACACATCCTTTCAGACCCACAGCGCTGAGTCGTCTTCTCACAGTGGAAGGATGGACAGAAACACCTGTGGATGTTTTCAGATCTGAAGCAGCTTGATTTTCTCCTCTCTCTCAGAGATGAAAGCTGTTTATCTGATGGGGCAGTTTTGGTGTCTACTAGAACGGTTGTTAGTGTATATAATGTCAGTGACTTGTTTGGGAGCAGCTGTTGGGAGAACACAGCCTTGAGAAACTCAAGGGTTTTAAGATTGAAAGGATGGAAGAGTTAAAGTGACAGAAGGTGCACAAAAGTAAAGAGTGGACAGATTAAATACTGATAGATCTGATATTATACTTACTGTACGAGTCTGTTAACTGCATCATCGGTGTCCAAAAAAAAAAAAAACGTTCTCCGTTTTTGTCAATTTTTATTTTTCTGCATCATTTGAATGGCAGCTGTCTTTTTGATCATGTGAAACTTTCATGATGAATGGATCGACAGAAAAGCTCCAGAGTCACTTGAAACAAAACCATTTTATATTAACTTGAAAAAGGTTTGAACTTTTTTGCCCTCTTCTGTAAAGTTAGTAAAACCTCATTTCCAAAAAAGTTGGGATGCTGTGCAAAAGGTAAATAAAAACAAAATGCAATGACGTGCAAATCATTTAAACCCTATATTTCATTGAAAATAGTACAAAGACAACATACCAAATGTAGAAACTGAGAAATTTTATTGTCTTTTGAAAAATATATGCCTATTTTGAATTTGATGCCAACAACATGTTCCAAAAAAGTTGACATGGGGCAACAAAAGGCTGGTAAAGTTGTGTAATGCTAAAACAAACAACTTATGGTAAATAGACAACAGGTCAGTAACATGATTGGGTATAAAGAGCATCTCAGAGAGGCGGAGTCTTTCAGAAGTGAAGATGAGGAGGGGTTCACCACTCTGTGAAAGACTGCACGATCAAATAGTGCAACAATTCAAGAATAACGTTTCTCAACATAAAACAGCAAAAAACTTTTGCTTTTCATCATCTACGGTACATAATAACATTAAAAGATTCAGAGAATCTGGAGAAATCTCTGTACACAAGGAACAAGGGCAAAAACCAGTATTTGCTGGCCGTGATCTTTGCGCCCTCAAGTGGCACTGCATTAAAAACAGACATGATTCTGTAGTGGAAATCACTGCATGGGCTCAGAAACACTTCTGAAAACCACTGTATGTGAAAACAGTTCATCACTGCATCCACAAATGCAAGTTAAAACTCTAAAACACAATAAAGAAACCAAATATAAACAGGATCCAGAAACGCTGCCACCTTCTCTGGGCCCGAGCTCATTTAAAATGGGCTGAGGGGAAGTAGAAAAGTGTCCTGTGGTCTGATGAATCAACATTTGAATTTCTTTTTGGAAATCATGGACACTGTGTCCTCTGGGCTAAAGACCACCAAGCTGGTTATCAGTGCACAGTTCAAAACCCAGTATTCGTAATGGTATAGGGGTGCATTAATGCACACGGCATGGGTGACGTGCACATCTGTGGATGCACCATCAATGCTGATCAATATATACATGTTTTGGCAACATATGCTGCCATCCAGAAGGCGTCTTTTTCAGGGAAGGTCTTGCTTATTTCAGCAAGACAATGTCAAACCATATTCTGCATGTTTTACAGCAGCATATTAAAAGAGTCCGGGTGCTAAACTGACCTCCTTGCAGGCAAACCTGTGACCCACTGAAAACATCTGGCGCATTATGAAATGAAAAATACTACAAAAGAGACCCTGAACTGATGAGCAGCTGAAATCATATATCAAACAAGAACAGGAAAACATTTCACTTTCAGAACTACAGCAGTGTCTCCTCAGTTCCCAAACACTTACAGAGTGTTGTTAAAAGAAGAGGTGATGAAACACAGTGGTAAACATGTTTTGGAACGTGTTGTTGGCATTAAATTCAAAATTGGCATATATTTTTCAAAAAAAACAATAAAATTCTCAGTTTCAACATTCAATATGTTGTATTTGTACTATTTTCCTTTAAATATATGGTTTATTTGATTTGCACATCATTGCATCCTATTTTTATTTACATTCTGCCCAGCATCCCAACATTTTTGTAAATGGCGTTGTATTTTGGAGATACATGTTTTTCTTTGCACAGCAACAACATGTTTCCTGATTTTTTCTGACGTTGAAAAATGAATAACTTATACTTAGTGGCCTGGACTGGAAATCAAATAAATGAAAGAGTGGTCTCTGACTTTTGCACAGTACTGCACCTTACATATTGGCTTCATAGTGAATAATAAGTGAATTATAAGGCTGCAGTTTAAAGGGTTAAAGTGAACGGGACGTAGCTGTGAATACGTACCTGCGGAGGATGCAGTGGAGCAGCTGGTGTGGAAGCCATTGTGTTGATGTGCACTGAAGCCGTGCGACTCCGCAGGGAGGTGAACGCTGCTGATGTTCTGCTCCACTCTGTAATTATCCCCAAAGTGGAAGCAGCTCTGGAAGTTTCCTCGATAATCTGCCCAAACACAAACACAAGAAGCAAACCTCAGAAAATGTCCTCAGTAGATGTTTACAATGTCTTGGTTGTACTGTAATACACTGTTACAGGTGAATTAGAAGGTTAAGGTGAGGTGGTCTTAGACCACAGCTCCTGGTTGATGCACTGAACACTTTCAGTTTAAGTGGTTAATACAAAGGTTTTGTGTAGACAACTGTCTGTACAGCTGGACGAACTGGAGACTGTACCTTCAGTGCTCGGGAGGCTGTGGAAAGTGGAGTAGGGCTTGTGGTGTGGATGGAGCTGGTGCTGCTGAGTGGAGGGCATATTTTGCTGCTTCTCCACCAGAGCAGAGGGAGGAGACGGCGCCGTCTTCAGTGGACTGATTCCTGGAGACAGCAGAGAGCCGGATAACCTGATAAAGAGGGGGAGATGTAATTAACCCTTATGCTGCATTTATATTATGACGGCAAACATATTCCATTGTTTCCAACGGAGCAGCGATGGAAAATTCTCCCACCACCAGCAGTAACGGTAGCATAACGACGGCAGCAAACAGCAGAAGGTCCCGCCAAGAGTTCCATTATCCTAACTTTCACGTCAACTGTGACAGAGGAATAAATTAGAGGATGAGCCATTGAAACTGAACGTCCAGACACACTAAAAAGTACAGGTGCAGAGAAAAAGTACAGAGAATCCATTTGACTTTTCCACCTTCAGTACAGTATCAACACTGCTAAAGCTCTCAACTGATAATCCATTTTTGACAGTTACCATTGCAATACTGAGTGTTTACATGCACCCAATAATCCGATCATAATCGGATTTCTGCAGTTATCCGATTATTCAAATGGTCATGTAAACACCATACTCCGATCTAGAAATCCGATCAGGAAATCCGATAAAGAGAGCTAGGTTTCAGCTCAGTAATCAGATTTCTCAGTGCATGTAAACTCTTACTCTGATTTCTTTCGGATTTCTCAGTCTGCGCATGCGCGAGAACAGACGGTGGATGTTGCGAGACGCAGCAAAACACTTTTGGAGCCCCGCCGAAACCTAACACGAAATAAAGGATTTAAATAAAGGATTTAAATGCCTGACTCATGTAGACCCTGAGTTTCCCCATTATCTGATTACTCGAGTGCATATAAATGCAATGATCGGATTACTGACAAAATCTGATTTTCTGCAGTTATCGGATTATTAAGTGCATGTAAATAAACTCACTGCCGTTGCTGGTTGTGTACCGCTAAAAGGCTTGGAACACCATTTTTTTTTAATGCCAATATGTAAACACAGCATAACACCTTGTCCTAACAGTAAGCAAACACTCAAATACAGAATCACACTACAAACAGGAAATGTGCTTTATCTTCAATGACAATCCATATTTTAGCTAAATAATATACATTTGTGTAACATTTTTACATGCAATATCAGTAGCTTACAGCAGATAATGAAATAAAAATGTTGGTATTACTGTAGTAATTTTCCTACAAACTGTCTAAATATGGTTAACATACTAATTAAAGTCAGAGGAAGGATCATACTGCACTCTTCTCCACCGCATGGAGTTTTGGAGGGTTGACCAAGTTTGGACGAAGGCTTAACCACAGCATTTTTTTGTGTGCACAACAGGGCATTCATAAAAAATGGCCTGTCTCACTGTGTTGCATCGCACTCGATGCTCGTGACTGGTGACAGATTCAATATTTATAATGAGAGCATTCTGGTTTTGTCATTTTTGCTTGCTTGTGTCACTTGGTACCAGGACAATGTTAGAATCTGCAGTTATCGCCAGCAATAAAACTGTTTTTTATGTTAATAATTAAAGAATATATTAATTTGGACCAATTTAATGTTAATTATTTCTCATTGAGCTTACTGGTACATGTGGAGAAATTCCCTGGAAAGCTTCAAACCTGACAACAGAATGTAAATTGAATCGAAATGTCATTTATTTTGAAACTATGGTATTAATTATGCATTAACCTCTTTCTGCAGCCACTCTAGTTGCCAATACACTACTAATTTGATCAATTACTAATTTGCTACTTTGATCAATTACTAATTTGATCTAATATAATCAAATAAATTAGGACTCTGTGGCCTCTCTGTGTGTAAAATGTGACTCAGTGTTGAGCTGCTAGTGAGCAATGGCGGGGGGAGGGGTGAGAACCCTCTGCTGTGAAAAACAATACACACCTCTCCACAAAGACAGGCATGCCGAGATAAAACAAAGAACTGCAGCTTTCTTCATATCAAGCAATCCTGTACAACTGACACATTAAACAAACAGCATTTAAAAGTAATAAAAATACTTTTAGAAATGGAAACTTGCTTGCGCATCTATGAAGACGGAAATCCAGTTCACTTCCGGTTTTGTAAATCATACAGGTTAGGTTCAATTTAAATACTATACTATAGCCGAACAACAACGGTAATGATATTTTTATCTAAATCATATGCAGATTTGCCATGTGGGAGGAAATCGCAGATTGCTGCATGCCTCCGAATGGCGCTGGAATGCCTCTGCAGGGACGGGCCTACTTAATGCTGTATTTACTTCCTCTGTCGTGCTTCATACTTATCCCATCTTTGTCATAATAAAAATTTATGAGGCTGGTTTTGATCGTGTACAGGCCGTATACTTCGCTCCAGATGGACTTTCAGAAAACATGCCTCTGATATGCTGTACATCGCGATGGCTCAAGGGGAAGCCATGATGGCTTACTGATGCTCGCTGCACTGCGACCGAATAAATAAAGCCTTTGTTAGTGCCATTAGATGCAGCTGTCACCAGCCTAGTCTACAAAAATGCGAAGTAGAGCCGTTCCGGCGAGAAGCGTGATGCCAACCCGAGCGGGCCTGTTGAAGTCATTGCTGCCCTTATGCAAAGCTCCGAGCTCACACATCAAAGAGTCACACTTTAGCATTTCAGAACAGAGCGGAAAACAAAAACAAACCCAATGAATTGCCTTTAAAAACAGAATTATCACAAACAGATGGCCACACCAAGAGCCCTGTAACAGTGACTGTAATGCAACAGCATTAGGTTATAAACAGCTCAGAATAGGCAGGAGGGGACAGGCGAACAGCCATATTAGCATTAAGAGAGGAAATTAAATAATTGGTCCCTCTTTGGTAATTGTGGAGTACTATGAACGTATACAATGTATAATATATGAATAAGCTAACTGAAAGCAGCAGAGATGCAATTTAACCCTTTAAAATCCCCTTATTACATACTAAGGCTTATTATTTAGTAACTACAGGAATTTCAATGCAAACGCTGAGCTGTTCTTTGGTTACAGAATTGGGTAATAAAACTTTGGGCCTGCTGGCATGAGATCTCTAGGTTTTCTACCAAAATTAATTAAGTTCTATCATAGTTATTGTTTTCCAGCTGGATAGTCCCACCAGCACTTCACATCCAAAAGAATTTGTGGTTCCCTCGGTCTGTTCTTTCTAAAACCTGCTCATCTAGGTCAAGAAACCTTTTGCTTAATGTGATTTTAAGCTTGCCTGACTCTGGACCTTGAAACACAGGTGAGCAAGGCTGATTTTGACTTGACATACTGCTGACATGCATGTTAAATGTGAGAAATGTGAAGTGCCTCAGGTGGCTGTTTTCCTGATGCAGATAGATTCAAAGGTATTCCTAAGAACTGAGACTGCATCTCAAACATCCTTTCCCTCTAGGACATAAGGGTCTATAAATCACAGGCCTGATCCCAAGCAGCACTCTGAGATGTTCTTTCTGAACATAAACAGGTTCTTTCTTAATAGTTACTCTATCTTGTCTGAAAATAGTTAACTAAAGTGCTCTCTTTTCATTCTTCCTCTCCTTTTTTTCAAACTGAGACTCACAGAGCAATCACTTAAACAAGGCTAACATGTTGCCAATAAGGTATTACATGAATTGGGTCATTCTACAGAAACGGCCACTGTTCCATCTCTCCATAGGAGTCACTGGTGTTACCGATCCTCACTGGTGTTACACGTAAGAAAGGTAACACCAGAGACTAAGAGAGCAGTTTACAAAATGGCTGCTACAGAGCATCAAACCACATGTAGTCAATCATGGAATATCCACTAAAATATGGAATTTAATCCATTTGTGTTCTATTTTTTCAGTTACCTCAGAATAAAGTCGGTCACACCAGTGACTTCAGCTAAAAGCTCCATATGAAATCATGAGCTAAATGAGAAAATCTCTGATAACTGAAAGACACAGTGGACTCACCATGAGCTTTTCTTCATAGATCCTCAGAAAACAGGTAGAAGGAAGTCAAGTGATGTCATCAGTGTGACTTTTATTTCAAAATAAGAGTTTTTTTGTTACACAGTAACACCAGTGACACGACTCCTGGGGACAACAACTTTCATTATATATTTTATTATATTTATTTGGCATTTGTTTTCTCATGTCATTTAATTTCTATATCCCATTGTCAAGTATAGATTATTGTAGTTAAAATTGCAGAAAAACGTGTTTTTTTCTTCAAAGTATGGCCTCAGCCTTTACACATGACTGAGGACGAGCTCTTCTGTGGTGCTTGGAATTCTAGATAACTGATTTAAAAACCAATATTGCTAAATTGAGGCTGAAGAAGGTGTAATTGTTAAAATAACGTATTGTTTTATTTTAAAATATAAATAAATTGTAACCCTAATATGTTTTTTTAAGTGTAATATATCTGTAAACGCTAGGGACACAAACATGGACTGTTCTGCAGAATGACCCAGTTACTAATGTAACCGCTAAAGTAAATCATATGAAGTACTAATGTGTATAAAATCATTACATTCATCAATTCCAGTCTTACAATACCAGCTCAGAGCACAATACGCTACCCAGGAAAATTCCCTATGACATCAGTTCATCCATAACGTCTTTTTTCCACCGAAGCCAACTTTACGTTCCACAACCTTCATTTCATCACTAAAAACCATAAAACACCACACATTCTCTCACGGCACTCTCATCCATGAGCGTGACTCACTCATCTCTCCTCCCTTACAGCCACATGTCTCAGAGAGGCAGCTCTAAAGCGCCTGTCTAAAGTTTGGGGACACCCTGCCTTCTTCTGAATTTTTCAGAGTAATGTTTGATTTCTAATGTTACTTATTAGTTATGATAAAGCAGCTCTGTGCTAATGTGAAGGGTGTATTTACCTTCAACACTCAGCTTATCTTCCTTGGATAATGATTTGACCATTTTCTTTTCCAAACTATTATTACATGTGAATTCCACCAAATTTTCAACATTTCTGCATAATTCAGTCTTTGAGATGTAGACAGTGTCATCCAGAAAGGTGGGATGTGAAATGGTGCATTGTAAATAAACTTACAGACTCAGATTTCTTTACAGTGGTGGTGATAGGAACCTGGAGTCGCCATGACTACAACACA